GTTACTAGTAAATAACAACAACAATTGCGAAAACAAAAACAACATCAAGGAACAACAAAAACAAAAAGAGGTAATGTAAAAAGTAAAAATTTATAACAAAATGACAGCAACGGCACCAGCCACAGCTGTTTATTGAAAGTATTTGTTCTTTTTTTGTTGTTTTTTTTTGTTGTTATTATTGTCAAATTACCGCCACAATTGCAATATGGCAAAATGGGAAACTCACATTTTCACAATAACAATCGCAATTGTGGAAATGGAAATTAAAACGAAACTAAAAAGAATTTTGCAAAATTCCAAAAGCATAAAAGTCGTTGGAGATGGCAAAATGTAATGCCAAAGCGAAAACAGAAAAACAATAAATAAAGTAACAACAATAAAGAAAAAATTAATTGAAAAACTTAAAAAATTATAAAAAATTAAAAAAAAAATTACAAAAAAAAATTAAAAAAAAAATTAAAAAAAAAATTAAAAAAAAAATTAAAGTAAAATAAAAAGCAATTATTAAAATAATTACAAAACTAAAAAAAAAAACGATAGAAATTAAATAAAATAATAATCTAAGAAATAAAAAAAGAGAATTGAAATCAAAATCGTTTACAAGCGCATTTTCAGCAAGCTCAAGTCCGCATGCGCAAACATATTGTCAGTTACTGACGCGCTCAACTTTATGTCTGTCTGTATGTCGCCACCAACGTTGCATTTCCGCCTTGAATGCGGGTGCTTTACCGCGAACGCTTGTATTTATATCAGCTTAGCGCAATCGCTTAGTTCGTACGGACCGTTTGCATGTGTTCGTGGCATGCGCAGGTAATTTTTCTTCTTTTCATCTTTTTTTTTTTGCTTTTTTTCTTTGCTTATTTTTTTGCTTTAGCTGCACTTCACGCCAATTTTCGTTCTCAACGCCATATTTATACGTATACACATTTACATACATATATTTTTATTCAGCCACTGCGCTCGGCATGCTGACACAATTTCCACGTGACCTTCAACGGTAATTACACAAATTACATTCGCATTTTTTCGCATTGCACTTTTAAAAGTCTCGGCTTTTATTTATTGGTTTTCATACCGCGTTGACAGTTTGTGCCCAAAATTGGCGAGGGAATTGGGATATGTTACGGGGCGAGTGGGTGGTGATTTTTCTTATTTCTCCCAGGTAAAAACATTGTAAAAATATTTGTTAAAATCCAAGGACCTTCTTGTAGTTGGCCTTTCGCTTCTAAAACAGCCAAATTCTGTTCCTCAAATCATTTATTTTTTTTTTTAATTTTTGAAAGTCTCTGGGAGACAAAGCTGGATAGATGAGCCATAGAGAAAAGGAAGAAGAAGAGGTTACTCGACGAGAGGTCACCATAGACAACCATGAAAAGTAAATGGTGCCAGATTTTCGGATATTTGGCACTTGTTTCTTGATGTGTTCCCAAAAAATGGAGGGACCTACAGTTTAAACTAAACCGCCTCCTAACGTCCATTAAATTTTCATGAGAAACTTTTTTATGTGGGAAATACACCCAGAGGGTTTCACATTTTCTGCCGAGGTAGTGGTGGTAGTATGCAATCGAATCAATTTAGTATCCATAAAATTGTTTAATTAATTATAAGGCGAAAATTTACAAAAACATTTTGTTACTTATCTGTTCCAGAGAGACATTGAAGCTCTGCTCTTTGATGAATTTTTCTCGACGTGTTTCTTTAATGACCGTCTTTATCCTTCGTTTACGTGTTCATACGTTGTTTATGTCTTTTTACACGGGCTTTTGAGTGAATGTCAAAGCAAATAATTATTTAAGTTGGGAAAAATACCTTTCCATACCCCGGCTTTTGAATCGCCTATATCATAATGGGAAGGATTCCGAAAACTGTCATTTAAACTGTCCTTAATTACCATGCCAAACGGTGGTTGATCGCTGGTATTGAACGAGTTTTTGATCTTAAAATCGTTCACAACTACAGCTCGGTTCATTTTCGTCATAAAAGTTACAGGATGTTGTAGGCCCACAACTCCGGCCGTTTACGACGGATGTTTTCGCGTTAACGGTTCAAAATGTAGAAATAATACTCTTTATTGACCGTCTGTCCGGTTGGAACGAATTCATGATGAACCAAACCGCTAATATCGAAAAAAAATAACAATTTCCGGAAACTTTCTGGTCTTAATGTGCATATCTTAAACGATGTCACAACTATGGTTGTATATTTTTACAATGGACGCATGGCTTACGAGGCAGCGATTTTATGTTCACGTAATGAGAGTACTATAGAGGAGTAATTAGGCTCATTAGGAACGTAATGTCTCAGTGACTCAAGCACCATAATCGCTAGTGAAAAGTGAAATATAGAAAACATCGAATATCGTGTCGTTATTAGCTTTCTTAGCAAGCAGCAGAAATGTTTGGAGTATACCCAAGAAGTTTAAGATGCCACAGCCAGTGGGCAAATACATGTCAACGGTCCATTAGGGTTCAAAAGGAATATTATAGAACGATTATAATGTGCTTCTATAAGTAGAGAATACTAAGATAATAGCTTAGGGGTAAAAAATTTCATGGAGGCAGCTTCGGCGTATTTTGAAGATAAAGAGAAAACATATTTTTGTGAGGTAAAATATTTTATATAAAAAATTTTTTTATTCTCCTTTCAAGAACTCCAACTCCATAGAAAATATATATTTTAACCGGCTTTTTATTAACATCAATGAAAGAGCCAGTATTTCTTCCAACGAAAAAGAACAATTTAATTATTTTATTCATAACAAAAAGGCTGAGTAAATAATTTCACCGCATTGCGTCGCCAAAATGCAAACATCGAAAGAAATTAAAAAAAAAAAAATTGAAAAAAATCAGCTATAAATAAAAATATACTCGTTTTCAAAAAAGCATACAATAATCAAAAAATATTTATAAATACTGCATATAAGAAGCAACGTTGTCTTTATTGACAATACCAATTGCACCAATACAAACATACGCCTATATATGTACGTGTATGTATGAACAAGTTGTAGCACCGAGCAATGGCCGCAATTAAATAAATAAAATAAAAAATTAAGGAAAGTAACAGGTTCAAGTCTGGTAATTTGACTGACTGAACAGATAAAACTGTTTGTATATATGTATATGTATTGTATATACGAGTATATGCATGTACGTACATATATATGCCCATAAAAATATACCTATATCTATAAATGCATAGGTGTGCACTTGTATGTATATAAATATCTAAAAAATATTTGTAAAAAAGGTGTTGTAGATTATACCTAAAGACAGAATATAGCAATAACAACAATAACTGTGACAAAATGCTTGACATCACATTCCAACTGAGCGCAATGTTTGATGAACATACGTATGTGAGTATAACTATAGTCGTATGTGTGACTTATGAATTTAACGTTGTTTTTTTGTTAGTATCAGAAACTGTCACTATGTACACATATTCATACATCCACACATACATACATATGTAAGCAAATTTAATTTTACACAAAAAGGTGTCTTCTTATGCTGGTTAAATATCTGTATATTATTATTTACTTACATACGTTGACTTAACTTGCTTCCGGCGCAGGAAGTGAAGTTTTCATTTATTTTCTCATTTTCGCTTCATTAGCTTGTATATTAAATATTTGTAAATTTATGCATCTAAAATTCTGAAAATTAAAATTAAAAAATACAAAAATTTGTACATAACGACAGCCGAGCAAACACATCTATGTATGTGTGTACATAATTTGCTCCACTTTTAGACGGATATACCGTGTAGCTGTGAAAGATATAGAATAGATATGTACATACATATGTATTTATTTATCAATGGGTACTTCCACGAAACAAGGACGAGGTGATGCAATACTTTTCAAAATGAGCGGAAAATTGCCATTTTTATAGCAAAAATATTATTATAGGTTTATTTGTCCTAACCTACTAAATTGGAGGGTGCTCCCTGACAAAACGATACCGAAACCCGATTCGTTTGTGTATTTGAAAAATATGTCTTAAATAAAAAATAATTTCAAATGAAAATCTGCTAAAAAAGTGATATTTCTTTAAAACCCAAAAAATATAATTAAAAAAATTATATTTTGTTTTCTTTTTTAGTTTTATTTTAATTAGTTTTTTTGCTATTATAACTTTCATGTAAATAAATTTGCGGTTTTGAGTCATAAATTTTTCAGAAAAGCATCTAAGAGCGTGACATTTTGCTATTCTGTACACATATGATGAATTATATATTGGTGCTGAAAATTATAGCACCCACAGATGTGAGATTTTGATCTAAAAAGTAATCTAAATTAATTTAAAAAAAAAAATTCTTATACACGGTGTCCGCGTGATATTACTAACATCAAAAAATTATAGAAAGTTAATTTAAATAAAAATGAAGTTATTTTTGTAATTGCGGTCGCCTCATGGCAGGTAATGTCATCACCGCTAGTTGCATTTCTGGCTTGAAATAAAAGCTCCACATAAAAAACCATTAGCCGTTCGGATTTATTTTATTTAGTTTGATTTTATTTCATACCTTTTAATTTTATTTTAGTTAATTTATTTTAATTTAATTCAGTTTTTTAGTTTCAATGTATTTTATTTTATTACATTTTATTTTATTTTAATTTATTTAATTTTATTTATCTAATTTTATTTATATATTTTTTTTCTATTAATTAATATTTTTATTTTTATTTAATAATTTTTCTTGTTTTAATATAATTATTATTTTTTTATTTTTATTTATTTAATTGAATCCAATCTTATTTTATTAATTATTTCGCTTAGGTCTTTCTAAATAAAGTACATATATATCCAAAGAAAAACATTTTTTTTTGATAATTTTTGCTGAGTAAATTATAATTAAACTCTAATTGATGAAACATATATAAATTTCATTAACAAAATTCTTTGATTATTTGGATTAGTTGGAATATATATATGTATTCGAAACTTACCAGTTAGCGTAACAAAAAAACCTTTACAATTTTCTATTTCGTTATTTATTATATACCTTCTGCTTTCAGCCAACTTTTTGCATAATAAAATTTTTCGCTATTACTTGTCAATTCGAAAAAAGGTGTACTTAATTAATTGATGACATGACAAAACTAATATTCTCTCATAAACATTCATACACTGGTGTATAGATATATGAACACTTACACGTATACAGGAAGACATTTCAAAGTCATACATACATACGAGTACTTAATAGTAATTTTAGAATTTTACAAAATAAAATTGCATTTTGGCGTTTTTATTTCATCATCGTTTGCTTGTGCTTTTGTTGAGAATTTGCACCTTTCAGTGCTTCTAAATTACATTCACTTATGGACATACATATATATTCGTATATAGAATTTTTCCTAATTTTCAACATACTTGTATGTATATAATAAATTAGCGTATATAAGTTTATTTGCAGTTTGTTTTTGTTTTCGTGATTTTTTTTTTGTTAATTTACTGTATAAAATCCATTCGTTCTTCATTCATTTATTCATTCACTCATTCGCTGATTAAGCTCGAAACACGTGCGAAATAAATGCTGAAGGGTTTGCTAAAAATATTAATTTCTTTTTATTTTCACCTTTTCAGAATTTTTTTTTTATTCTAAAGGAAAGAAATATAATTTTCTTAGGCTGTACATACATACCTAGTTCTCTTCTAGACGTCTAGTCTATAATTATTGCAATGAAATTCGTTGTTATAAATACATATTATATTTTTCGAATACAATTTTTGAAAGGTGGCAACCATGTTCAAAAGTGAACCGTCTGAACTTAAGCCATCTGAAAGTGCAACAGTGATATATACCTATATTACAATATTTTTAAATAATTTTTTTTTTTCAAAAGCGTATTAACTAAATATTTTTTCTTAAATTAAATGCATATTGCAACAATAAATTAATAAATAAATGTCCAAGTTTGACGACATTTGTTTTTTTCTTAATTTTTGTTGTTGAGTGTCGAATATACGACAGCTCCCAAGGAGGTTTCACTCCAAAGGCAAAAACGTTTTTCGACCTCGTTCTAAGCTAAACTTACCAATTTTAAAAGATGCCGCCGTTTTGCTAACTTTCTAAATACGTATTTACATATATATACATACATACTTATATGTAGATTAGTTCAAAATTGATATTGTTCGTTGCTTGAACATTTCTCCTTTCTACTAAATATTCATTACAATACTTGTGTACTGTAAAATCAAATATTTATTTGGCTACTAGAGATTTTTCACACTTCATCTTCTTCTGGGGACCACCATGTGCTCGGCTAGTTTCTTTTTATTAAGCTTTTGAATAAATTTCGAATTTGAATCAATGCCTTGTGAGGCAACATGGCAGCGCCTCGTCTATTGGCGACTGAAAATGCTCCACTTCTGCGACGCGCTCGACGTTTGATTTCATGCAAATTTTTCGAAAAAGAGTTTCAACATTTCCAAATGCTTTATTTCTTTATTTTAATTTTTGTTTGTATATATTTTTTTTTCTACATATTCTTTTTTTCACGTTTTTCCGCCCCTCTTTCTTATTCAATCTTTTAACTTTTTAGCGACAAAGTGTTAAATGATTTTTGTTGCAGCATCGTGACGTTCAAACTTTACACTAGACTAATACATACACATACATATGTGTATGCTTGTGCATGTGTTTGAACAGAGGTGTTTGTGAATTGGTTGGAGCTCTGGTCTTGGTTTTTTGTTTACTTCCTCATATTGCCTGCTTGTGTACCCTCAAATGTTGCATATACAAATACATACATATGCAAATATATATATGTATATATATGTAGTTGTGCATATATCATATGGAAGCTACTCTAGTTGCCAAGAAACTGGAGCCGATTTCAGTTCCACATACATAATATTTATATGTACATATATATGCATACATACACGTAACATATTTTCAACGGTTAAATAATGTTTAACTTTGGTTTTCAATTTATATTTCTACATTTATTATTTATTCACTGTGTTTGATGGCCTGTTGGAATTGGATTTACGGCGAAACTTGCCACTACCCATCAGTCGTGCCACAATGCAATAGATGGTTGAGTGTTATCTCTTGTCGTAGATCTTTCTGCGCTGTTCAGAGCCGATTTTTTGGGAGTGCAATATTTCAAGAGATTTTATTTTTTAAAATTTAATGAACTGGGACTAATCAATAAATCTTTTTCTATAACTAATTGATTAACTATTTGATACAGAAACAAGCTAAAAACATTAAATGTGATTTAGAAATGGTCGCAATTAATATATATTTAAATTTAATTGATCAAATTAATTGACTAATCACAAGGCGATCAGTCAAAAAATCATTAATTTTCTTTTTTTTCAAGTTAATTAAGTATTATTAAGTGACTTAATTAAGTTAATTAGATTAACTTTATGGAAAAAATTTAATCGGAATTACGAAAAACATTCTAAAGTGTGTTTCCAAATCATAAATTGAATATTTGGAACAACAATTTTAACAGCAAAGTAGGTTTTTTTTTGAATAAAATAACAAATAAAGAATTATCAATAAAGGAATCTTTTGAACAAAAACAGTTTTCCGGTTATTTCTAAGTGAGAAGACCCTTTTCACTGTCATTAAAATTAATTCCGTAAACAATTTTCCTGTGGCTTCTCGCCATGTGCTTTACTCAATAATAACCAATAGCCCATGGCGCGGCTCTTGCAATGGAAAACATTATTTTTTTCCGTTGTTTCAGTCGATTCCTTCAAAAAGCTGACATCCAGGTTATAACATTCGGTAGTAATTACAGCCTTAAGATTATGTGCGCTGTTGTATTGAATATTATTTGCGTAAACGAATTAAAGTCAAGAGAGTAGGCTACCAACCCAAGGTTTCTATGAAGCAATTAATCAAGATCACCAGTGTTTCATTGCTGACATAAATGCAAGCATTATCCTGTTGGAAAGCTAGAGGAACCTCGTTGTAAGCCTCAACAAAAGGGGAGGAAGGCTGTCTTCCAACACTTGACTGTAGTTTGTTGTAGAAAAAGCCCGCCACATCATTACAATAAAACTAAAAACCAATTTACTCATTATATTTTTTTCGTCCAAAAAAGGCGATCTTCTCGGACCACAAACAACTATCTTCACTACTTTTAGTAAAAATTAATTTAATACTGTGCGAGAAATTTCTTACTCCATCATCTCATTTTGAACTAGCTCCATAACTAGTTAAAAACCAATTGAAAAGTAAAAACTCTTTCATTCCTTTCATATCTGGTATATGGAAGGTGTGCAAATACAAAAACAAAAAAAAAAATACAGAATGTGGAAAAAAGTAAAGAAAAATTGTATCCAAACGATCAAGCTGAAGAAATTAAATATTTATTATGATTGCAGTTCGTTTAGCATATCTGACACATACAAATGTGATTTGGTTAATGTATGAGTGCTGATATCCATCTCTTGTATGTACAACTGTCAACTCTTATTTGACTTACGAAGATATAACGAAGCAAACGCAATCTACATAACCACCACGGACATCAGTCAGTTTTCTCAACACTTCTCACGTTCGTCCACTATTCTGTTCATATGTCCCGTGCAACGGTTTAATCGACTTCGACGCTGCTGTGCACATTTGTTGGCTTCCTGCTCGGTTTAATGTAAATATTTGGTGACCTAATCAAGTCTTCGTTTATTTATTCAAATGTACATTATGTCTGTCTGAGTAGATGTTTGTAATAGTTATTTATGTATTTAGTGCAGATGATTTTCTCATGACTTTTCAATAACATTTTAGGCTTTGAACGAATCTCTATTTTAAGTATAAATATGTAGTGGCCGCAGTAGCCGCGGGATTTTCATTGCATACTGCCATTCTATCGGCCAGGGCTTGATTCCTGGTTCGACCAACATCCAAATGTAACTCTGATATGAAATACAAGCTCCTCATAACAATCTATCAGCTGTTCGGTAGATTCTTAGAAAAAACTGTGTTGGTCCTTCCGTTTTTTGGGTAAACTGATAAAATGCATACCACAATTTGAATGAGGAGCTCGCTTCAGATGTTACATATGTTTATATGAATAGGTACATATATTTGTTATAAATATCGTTTTGACATGCAGTTTATTCTTGGAGATGTTGGCCTTGCACGAACACTTATCTGCAAAGGTTGTGTAGCCTCACTTGTTCTCATGGGCAGTTACTCCGGTCTTTAAGGTCTCGCCTTGTTACGGTGTCGACGTTTTCTGTTGGTGAAAGTTTTCACTGTCCATTGAGTTACATTGAAACCAACCTCTTTTGCAATTGGCACTCGAGCACTTAATTCCGTTATCTGCTTATTCGTACTATAACAAAAATTTATTTCCAAGAGACTTCGTTGTTCACGTCCCCCATATAGCGACGATCATAATATGGCTGATAACGAGAAAGTATTTAAAAAGTCACACAATTAATTTGAACGCAGAAGGAAATATAACACATATAGACATAAACAAACACTGACGCAAGCACACACACACATACGAGAGTATTTGAGCATAATCCTATACCAATAAAACGCCAGAGTGTCGGTTGTGTGCGACCCGCATAGAGATCCATCAACGTAGCCTTTTAATCGCTGCGTTGATGGTGCGTAAAACGCGTTTGCTGTGTATGTATATGTGTGCATGCTAGAAAGGAACTCATTGTATCAACTCTGACGCACTGTTACGTTGCGCGCTGCGTTCGACTTTACGTGCACCTGAGGCCCAAGTGAAGCCACCAAGCCACCAAGCAGGTCGGGCGTACACAATGCGGGGCAATCAGTTAGAAAACTAACAAGCGGACGAACGCGTCGCCGCATTGGGCTAATAGCGGCCTAATACAACAACAGCGATCGGTCGGTATAGTGTATGTAAACACAAGAGCGGAGTGGACAAACAAACGCCGAGAGAATAAACAAATTTCTTACGTGAGTTTATGTCTGTTGCGCTGTAAATGTGCGCGCGGAGAGTTAGTGTTTCGCTTTGTAGTCTCATTTCAGCGTAAAAAAATAACTAATATAAACAATGATATAAAAGAAAAAGTAAATAGTTTTGCTAACCGTTTTTTATTCATACATATTGATTTTGTTGTTGTCGTTTTTGTTGTTGCTGCTGTAATTTAGTTGCATGCAAGTGCGAATAGAGTGAGTATGGCTGAAAGAGTAAGAGTATAAAATATTCTAGAGGCGTTGAAGAGTTGCCACATGCCATCGAAAACAATATGTAGACCATGAAAACCTCTCTTCACTTACGAAGTGAGATATTTTTTTTTCGTAGCGAACATACAATTCTCTCCGGTTCAAGGCGTCTAGATCGGTGGAGCGTTTTCCAAGCAAAATTGCCTGCAGTTATGAAAGAGATAGAGAAGCACATCGTGTTCACTTTAACAGACAGGTGGCAATACTGTGCGGTCTCAAGGGGAGTTAAAGAATTTTTGCATTGCCTTTCCATAATTCTCGTTATTTTTCTATGAGACTGGTTTGGGGAAATCGAGAAGCTGATAACCTTGATTCGAAATCATAGAACAAAAATCTAGCGTCTATGTAGATATCATATTAACTACTAACATCATGAAGTGTGCGGACGCAAGGGCTTCCGACCCGTTGTAGGTCGCTAAGGGCTCACGCTAGTTCTAACGAGTAATCAGTACTAAAATACAGTCTGGTTGATGAAGAGGTAAGACCATCTCGTCATTTTCCTCCCGGCTGCCTTGTTTTCGCTAAACTGAGAGTGCAGTCTTTTGACTTTCGGAAACTGGACACCATAGTGTCACGAAATTTTAAAATGGTTTTTGTGCAGCCTGGTACTGGGTCAACAGTAATATAATCTAACCTAATCAGAATAGGGCTCCACTTAACTGCGATGGCTTGCTGATCCTTTAGAAAAGTTTCCTTATTCAATTTCTACTTCTATGTAACAATCATCACCGTTATTGAAATTGTTCTAAGTTATCTCAGAACTACCATGTTCTGTGGTACTTGGGAGATGTCCCCGCACTGTTACTCTCTACCTTCTGCAGCTGTTGCTCTCTTCACTCATTCCAAATGTTAATGTATTCAAAGTAACTGTTCTAGTATGACAACCGTAAAGAATAAGTTGTACGCGTGTAACAACAACAACAAGAATAGAGTCAAAGCCACCGCAAATGTGTTCGTGTACCAATATGAACGCTTGGTGATCGCCAGTTGACGACGTTTACGCGAACATTATGACGTTATCGTTGTGGTGGTGGTGCTTAATGATCGCCGTCGTCGTCGACGTAGTTGTCACTGCACAATGCCAGTTATTGAGCAGCTTTTTGCCTGTGTCGGTGGCGTTTGGTGGCTGGTAATTCTGTTGGCTAACGCGTTGGGTTCTCAATGTGACACGGCGTAACTCCCCTGCCATTCGTACATCAGTTGCGGTGCCGATCGCACGGCTCATTTGCCGACACGATCTTGTGACTTGCATTTTGAATATAATTTTTTTTTTTCTAAAAACCGACAAGTGCAAAGCTGGTGCAGCATTAGAGCCGCGTTTCTGGCTAACTAGCTGAACTGAACTGTAATGTGTTTTTTTGTTTGAGCTTTGCGCGATCGCATTGTAGAGTTGTCGGTGGCGTCGAATCGGCGATCGCATTGCAAAGTACAACGTGCGCAAAAAAAAAAACTAAAGTTCGAAAAAAAAATTAAATAAAAGTAAAAAAAAAACACTTAAAATAAAGTTTTCTATTACAAAGCAAAAAAAAGAACATTAATTTGAGCCAGACAAAGGAGGCGTATCCGCACATATTGCACAGGCGAGTGTGTTGTAATCTGCAACGCCGTCTTTGGCAGGCTAACTGAAACCGAAACTGAGACGCCGTGCAACTTTCGGCAGCTGCTGAGTAGACAGTTTTAAATTATTTAAAATTTTTATTCGTTTTTTTGTTTTTTTTTTTTGCTAAAAGTTAATAAATAAAACTAAATGCGTAGTGCAAATAAAAATGTAAGAAAAGAACATAAACTTATTGGACTGCGAAATGCGCTGAATGTGAAGATCACCTGAAGTGGCCGTCGTTACGTGCATTCCTACGCCGGTCGGCCGACATTCATTGTCATTGGAGTTCAACGCTCAAAAACGTGGCAGTATAAAAGGTGTTTATTTTTTCATCAACTTTCAATGGTTATTTATATTACATTTTTCTAAATATTTATATTATTATTTTTTATATATTTATGTATATGTGCATTAGGGTGGTACTGAGGGGGTTTAAATGTAGCTTTTATTTTTTAAATTTTAAATTTACTATTATTTAATGCATATTTTCGGAAGCTTCAATTGAAACGTTCGTCATATAATGATATTTCGCAGCATTTTTGTTTTCAATTCAATAAGAGCCTGTTCCCTTCTTACTTTACTTAAGTGTTTTTCAACATTTTTTGAGCAATAAAAAGAGAGTTTGATTAGCGAAAAGCTTTGAAATTTACTTACATCTCATTATGAATTCTCCATAACTTCTACCGTTCCAGTCCCGGCTCTTTTACTAGTATTTTTTACTTACATACATATTAACTCGCCAGTTAATGTATCCGCCGGAGCTTTGAAACCTCACAGGCAGTTAATGTACTTTTTCGTCAAAGCGTCATTAATATTAGATCAACTTATGAGTCATCCACAGTTAGAACTATCCGAATTATGTCAAATATGCAACGTTTCGCTCGATAACTTTTCTTGCCATTTAATATTGAATGTCCTTATACTTCTGTCATGGAGTTCCTATTAAAAGAATATTGAAACAATCGATTTTCACAGGTTTCTCTTGAGACCATCATTCACCATAGCCTGAAACAGTTGGTAATCACTTTATGCGTGGTCTGGACTATAAGGTGGACGCATAAGAACCTCCAGCACTCGGTGCTTCTGGCGTCTCACTATTGATGTGTGTGGTCTGGGATTGTGTGATTGTCCTGATGAAACATCATACGCCTCGTGTTGGCCAAAGCTGGTCGATACGTGGCAATCGCTTCATGACCTCCCTAATGTGCTTATAAGCGATTATAATAAGTTTTTTTTTTATTTAAGAGGAAATGCATAAAAGTGCTTGGAAAGTGAACTTTTACCATTACGTAAGATCGCTTGAACAAACCAAAAAAAAAAAGCAGTGAATGGCTTAAGGCTTTCAAATCACACTAACAACTTAAGCAGCTGCAAGACCACATGGAAAAATATTCAAATAACCAGACAAATGTACACGTATGTTACATACAACGCCTTTAATCAGTCAAAGAAGCAAAGTTTTTAACTGCGCTTTTGCTCTCTGATCTGACACTTTTAATTTCATTTGAGTTTTTAGATTACTGTTTTTGTATAAAAATAATAAATCAGTTACTTATAGTATGTGGCGGCTTATTTGCTTCGAGCGTGTGTGACTGCTGCGTCGGTGCATGTATTGATATGCAAGTGCATGAAAACAAACGTATATTTCTAATTATTAATTCTTACAAATGAATTCTGATTTTGCGCAAACAAATTTTTAAAGAAAAGCAAAGAAAAAAAACCAATTCACTCATCCGACCAGTTTGATGATTTCGTTCGGCGTTCTTTGAACTTTTTTCTTATAAATATGTATTAGAGAAAGTCATATTTTTTACTCGTAAATAATTCGTATTCAAGATTGCAGTTGAGGGGGTAGTGTACGGGGTTATGCTGCATTGGTTAATAACAAGTTTTTTAATAAAATTTTGATAATTCCAAAGTTAAGTTAAATTGAATTTTTAAGCTTGCAGAAATTGTAAATTTATTATTTTAATATGCTTTTTGTAAAAATATGCTGAAAAGTTCTATTTGTAATTTTTTATCAATTTTTTATATTTGAAGCTAATTTTAGGCGGCTGCTGAAAACACTTTCCGTAGCTACTTCTTCTTTATTTATACAACGGAGAGCATAAACAGTGCAGGGGTTTCCGGAAGAGTTCCTCGTTGATGTTTATCCTAATTATTTATTCTCAGTTACCTCCAGACGTCTGCTGGATTTTTATGAGTAGTTTTTTATGTTATGCAAATGCACTCAGAGAGCTTAAATTTTTTTCAAAATCGTTATTTTATAAAAATTCGACATAGTCCTAGTTTTGTCTACAGACTCAAAAGCAAAAGTTAAATAAATCGTTTATTGAGAATTTAAAATTCCTTAGCTATCCATTTTTCTATTCCCTTTCATTTTTTACTTTCTTACATAAATGCTATTTTTTAAAGCAATTTTGTAACATCGCGTTATGCTTAAATTTTTCCATACATAAAATTAATTATCTAAAATAATATGCTTTATTAAACTACTACTTTCGTCCATTTCTTTGAAGAAAATTATACCATATAGTTTTCCGAAATTTTTTTTTAGAATTTGCTGTTTTTATTTATTAAATTATTTATTTTTCATCAATTTCTGTATTACTCTAACTTTCTCATTTTAAATATTTTATTAGATTTTCAATAAAAAATTTATGTTGAAGTTATAAAAAATATATAATTATTTTTTGTAATTTTTTACAATCCTTTGTGAGTTTTGATTCCGAAACACAGCAAATATCTATATGCACTTATACTTTTTCTTAGTTTTTTTTTATATTTAAAATCATTTATTAAACAATAACATTTTTTTTTAATATATAACAAATTTTAGTATCCCCATTCGATTTCTCTTCATTTCAAAATAGTAGAATTTATAGTAAAACATCGCCACAATTTTCCGAATTCTGAAAACTGTTTTTCAAGCATAATCTGGAAAAAATCGTTTCCGCTAATCTCTGATACTTTAAGATTATAATTAATTAAACTGTTGGGCGACTGTCAAGTTACAAATAATTTCGTTATTTTTTTTTTACGATAAATACTAACTAATTATATATGTACGTATGTATCATGCACTTTCTTTTGCCGAGCAGCGAAACTGAATCATCATGTTTTTTTTTTAAATAATAATGAATTAAAGGTTTGCGTCATTTGTAGGTTGGTTTGTGGCTGCAGCACATGTCGAAAAAATTCCCAGAGCTTTGTTGGATATTTTCCCAAAGTCTGAGGTAAAAGAAAAAATTTTTTTTTTTCAAATCTATAGAAATTTGTAATTAATTAATTTCAACTATAATAAGTATCTACCTATCAAGTATATACTAGTCGACTTATTACCTTTCGTTGATTTAAATTTGTAATAAATTTTTAACTATTTTTTTAAATTTATTTTTTTTTAATTTCTTTTTTAAATTTCTTTTTTTAATTTTTATTTAATTTTTATTATTTTTTAATTAAACAATTTTTTTTAATTATACTTTAACGTTTTTAAATTTTTTTTATTATTAATTATATATTTTTTTAAATTGTTGTTTACCATTAACATTTTAATATTTTTAAATTTGGTTCTTATTTATGTTTATTTTGTATTTATATTTTAATTTTATTTCAATTACTGTTTTTAATATTTTTTATTAATTTTTTTTTGCTAATAAAAATTTTTTAAGTAATGAAAATCACTTTGACTTTTTACACTTTACTTACGAAAGTGTCCTTTATCTATGACATAAGTTTATTATTATGTTAAAAATTTTATGTGCTTCTTTTGTTGTTCTGTTTCTGTAGTGACCTTCAAGCCGTTGATTGATTTTGCTCGCTGGCAAATAAAAAGTGAAATATTTATTACCAATTTTTTTTTGTAAGTCTTACGTAGACAGAGTTTATTATAATTCACAGACTTTTTCTATTAAATAAGCACCATGTATGTATATACCTACACATATGTACATACATATATACTTATATTATATATATGTATTCATTTATTTGCATTGAACAGCTCTGGTTGTCTAGATTTGCAAACTCGCCAGGTCCCTTTCGATCATTCATCGCTAAGAATCGCGCTTAAAATTAAACTTGTTTCTGATCAACGCTGTTCTCAATATACTATGAAATAAATCTAATTAAATTATATACATATGTACATACATACGTACCTACAGATACGCACACACAGAGCTTGTAGTAATTTAAAATATTTTATTTAACAAACAAATAAGCCAATTATCATACATCTTTCATATTTACACGTATTTAAATATTAGAAATATTAGAATATACATACATATGCATGTATATATATTTTTTAATATATAATAATTATATTTTCTTTAATTATAATATGATTTTATACCTAGCAACATGCAAGTTGACTTCTAGTTAGCAACTAAAGATCGGTTAGTCGACTTTTCTTGCTTTGTCTATATGCATGTACATGTGTGTGCATGTATGTATGCAATTATGTAAGTGGAAGTTGAACAGGTGCATACAAATTACGCTGACTTGCATGTCTTCACACCTAATTAGAAGATTTTGCATACTTGCACACTTTTAATTTATCAATAACACAGATATATGTTAATATATACCCAATTATATATGTACTATTACATAGTTGTATGTATATATACAAATAAAAATATTATTATTATTTAAATTATTATGAATATTAAAGATGCTACAAAATTAATGACAGAGAACAGAAAAAAATCATCTGGCAACCCGATAAATGTACATATTTAAATTACACTCTTTGGTCAGTCGGAGAGTTAACATTAAAATTTCATATAATTTTTTCTTTTTATTAGTATGAAATATTCTTTATATGCGTTTAATAGAAAAAAACCGGCTGCCGTCAGCATTTCCTTTGAAATTAATCAATGGAGTAATGATTTTATGTTGAATAATATGCATTTACGAATATAGAAGAACAAATAAATATTTATAAGTTATAGTTACGAGCGTGTGTATACATTAGCTAAGCGTAACTATAATTGTTATTATTTTATTGTAATAGCCTGCTAATTTATTATTAAATATACATAGTACATACATATAAATACGCAAGAAATTTGTAATTTTTCAGTATTTCCCTCCCAAATAAAATCAAAAAATATTCATTAATGCATTTAATATTGCTCATAAAATTAAATTCCATTGCTTATCGCTAATGAGCTTTTTATATTTTTGATGAATAATATTTTTTTTTTAAATATTATTTTTATGTTTCTATATTTTTTAATTTTTTGTTTATATTTTCATTTACAGAAAACCTAGAATTTTCAAATTTTCTTATCTCTTTTAAATTTCTTAAACATTCTTTTTGTTATTTTATTTTTTTTTGTGCTTCCAATTTTATTTTTAATTTTTGATATTTTATTTTTATTTTTTATTTTTTATTATTTTTAAATTTTTGTATCTCAAAAAATTCGTTATTGAAATAATTGTTTTAGTATGCTAATTTTGAATAAAAAGTAAGTCATTAGACTTTAGAAAGTCAACGATATTCAGACGATAAAAATTTATTTATTTTTTTTTTTTGGTAATTTTTTTTTTTATGCAACCGAGGCAGCTCAAGTCGCACAAATGTTGTTCACGGTAACTTGGCTCAAATTTCAAATATTTTTTAAATATTTAAGTGAACTTTATTGGCTGATTTTTGCTTTACAGTATTTTTGTTTAATCGCTTTGTGCATACGAGGCTAGGGAAAAATGATTTTTTATAAATCAGGTTATATATGTATATATGTATTAATTTATTTTTCGGTCATGAAGTAGCACAAAAAATGTTTGAGCGCGTTTTAATTGAGTTCCGACAATTTATTCCGTGGTCATGGTAGAAAAGGGTGATTGAGGACCTGACATAGCGTGGGTATAGACATAGACTTAATTTTGATCCAATAGATGACGCATAATTAAAGTTATTGAAAGAACTTTAATTATAATACGATTTTAGGGAAATGACGCTCAAAATCAAAAATAATGAATCCGTTCTCTTTTCTTCAAATTGATTGAAAAATTATAATGAAAAACTATTTTATATATGTTATGGAAAATTTGGGTTTTTATATATATTAAATTGGTAGTGTCAATTAATTAACTAAAAAGTTAATACATTTTTTAAGAAGAGAAATAATAAATTTAATTTTTTTATTTAATTTTTTTTTTTGTAATTTAATTGATATTTGCTTAATTACAACTCTTCACCTTATCCTGAACGTTATGTAAAAAATTTTAAGCGAAGACAACATCAAAAATTAGATCGATATCAAAATTGTTAAAAATCAATATTTATTTACTTTTTTTAATAATTCTATGAAAATGAGAAAACTTATCTACTACAAGATTCTGAGGTTGAAATTTGTGGTGCTGCTTAAATACCATCACCACACATGGAAATTTATTCAAAGAAAAATTGTATTTTGATAATTTTTTTTAAATACTCTTTTATAAAATATTAATAAATAATTAATTATAGCAATGTCGATAAATTTTTTATTTTAACATTCTCAATTTGGAAATTTTGGGTCTGAAATTTTTGGGTGCTTTCAGTTTACCATCTCAAAAATCAAAAAAAAATTAAATAAATAAAAAATCCTGCGTATGAAGCATAACTTCAAATTTAATCAGTTTGACCCCAGCGTATCTCTCGCGATTTTTCTCCTTGAAAATAAGTCTCGTCCTATTAGTATACCAATTTTATTTTCAAAACGTGTACCATCAATTGTAACGGCTTCTAAAAATATACGAAATATGCCAACTTTATTAATTCTTCCCTCAAATATCTATGTACGTATGTACCTAAGTTTGTTATGTATGCAGGTACTGTACCCATAAAGTAGAATTGGAAAAAAAAGAACATGCTTTCATTTTGTTTTCCAACACCATTACACACAATAATGCAAACAGTTTTATGCGGCACTGCTTTTTATAAAATATTTTCTCTTATCGACCCTATTTTTTTATTATCAGGTTAATTTTTTTTTATATGTGAGAAGGAGCGAGAGTGAGATAAGATTTCGGTGACTGTTTGTTGACTCTTTGCGATAAGATAATTTTAATTATGCTTCATATATTGGTTATTTCTAATGAAATGGTGTAGTTAAGGCCGTGTGTACGCATGTACACGTATGTATGTATATCTTTGTGTGTATGTCTCTGCAAATCGTAGCTGGATATGCCCGTTAGGCTGCAACTACCCATTTTACTCACCAGCCGTCCATAACTGGCGACGTCGAGGCGAGATAAACACACGAGTTATCGACGCCGCTGAGAGCGGCGAAATGTTGCCAGCTGCCTGTGTGTTTGCACACTTTTAAACAAATTCATAATTTTCGTCAACAAATTTCATAATTTATGTGTTCGAATATTAACGAAAATCAAATATGTATTATCTATATGGTAACAAATAATTAGTTACGCATTTATTTTTCATTTCTGTTGAACAAAACTACGCATTATTTTCGATTATTTAATGTTACTTTAAGAAAGGCTATTCTGGCAACCTTGTATAGCAACGAAAAATGAGCCGAGCCGGTTTTACGGAAAAATCAAATCTTCGTTGTTTTTTGCGACACAAACGTCAGCAACGCTATGGTAAATCGGTGACAACTTTGTGTTTACATGGCGCTCTCATAAGATAGGTTACTATGGACGGCTGGTACGCTCGTTGGGTAGTTGCAGCCTTAGTCTTTTCACTTTTTTTTTCGTAATTAAATATTTACTCATAGGCTGTTTTGCCATGTTATTATTAAAAAATATGTACAGATATTGTATATATACGTATGTACAACACAATACATAAGAATGTATTTGTATCCAAATATGTACATGCTGATATTACAATTGTGTACGTGCACATAGGTGCATTTGTATGTATGTCCGTTTGGTGTGAGTCAAGTGATTACGATTTGGAGCCCTCATGTCAGCCATTTTGAAGATAACATTTTGACTGATTCATACAAACACCTAAGCATACAAATGTGTGTGTGTGTGTATATATAGATGATATAATTATTCTATATTACATTTATGTGCATGTGTACCTATAGACTTACGCCAAGTGCTTTGGATTATAGTTAATAAGTAAATTATAAAATCCCACACGATTTGAGGGGAAATTTTTAAAATAAAATAAAAAATAGTTAACTAATTATAAATTATATATATATATATATATGTGTATGAAAAAATATTTAATATTACAAAATACATATAGAATAATATACCTATGTATTGTATGTCTGTGTGAAAATGTCGGTGATGCAGTTTTAAATATTCTTTGCTTTTATATCACATTTACATATAGTTCAGTGAACACAGGTGGGCAACAGATAACAGATTATATATATATTTATGTGTGAGACATTTCTTTTGAATGTATTTTTATAAATTTTATTAACACACTTTTCAAACACTTAATATTTTTTCCACAAATTTCAAGTGCTATTTATATCTGGAATTCGCTTATCTTCTTGTCTTTTTACTATGTACTTATCGAAAGTGTTTGTCAGTTAAAATTCTTAACGCTCTGACACCTTCACAACAAATTCCGTTTACATTGAAGTGGCTCTCAAACTGTTTGTTTATTGAAAACTGTCATTAAAGAAACCCCATTCAGAGAGCAGTAGAGCAATCAGGTGGTATTCAATTTGATAAAATTATTAGAAAGTTAGTCAGCGGTGTCAAAGAGCGCACCAGACATTAATTTTTTTGAATGCCCGTATTCTCTAAGCCCCGATTGCGACAATTTCGCTCATTTACGTATTCCCCGAGTAAGAAATCTGCATGGTCGCTTATTATTTATAAATAAGTATGAAATCATTCTTTACTTTTTTCAATGTGAAATTTCTTAATATATTGAGCGATGCTAATGTTAAAAACCAAGCCATATTTATATTCAACTTGCATGTATTTTTTTAATATTAATTATATAAATTTTTTTTTATAAATTTTTTTTTTATAAATTTTTTAATATAAATTCTTCTTTTTCGTGCCTAAATGTAGGCAACATTATACCATACCATATACATGAAAACTAAAGTGAATTGTTGCCTACATTTAGTCTTTTGTTTAATAAGTGAAGCATGCTGTTGTCGTTTTATAATGTTTATATCATAAACTCATAATTTATAATTTCATATATATATTTTTATACTCATTTTGCCTTCAGAAATCTTTATCAAAAAGGTTATCTAGTATTTGATTTTTTCATTGTTTATTTTTTTGTCCATTAATCCCTTTCAAATGCCTTGGTTACGGTATGTCCGTGTGATCTTAAAGTAATGTCGAGAAACAAACGCAGCCTCAAGTGTCAAAGATGTCTGCAATTGCAACATTTTCCATAACTCTTATTTACTGCTTTTATTTTTTGTTTTCTTTTATTTATTTTTCACTGAGCATCTCTCTCTGCGCGCGTTTCTTTAATTGTGATTGTTTGTGCTGATAATCTTATCAACGTTGCAACAAGCAAGTCAATACCAGCATCTGCAAGTGCATATTGAACTCGTAACTGCAATATATAGCTATGTATGTATGCACTTATGTACAATGAGTAAATACAAATTTGTATTATAAATTTTTTATTTATTCTTGGACATTTTTTGTATTGAAGTACCAACAAAATTACCGCCATCAGCTCTCTTGTTGGCTGCTACAAATTGCTTTGTTACTACGTGTCCGATTCTTCGCTTGGGTTGAGTATGCATTAGACGCCGCTGTGGCAGGTGCACAATTAAATAAATGCATTATTTAGTGATACAACGCCATACTAAAGTAATAGAGAAGTGTATATGATTTGAATGTGAATAATTTTAATTTAAAAATTAAAGATTTTGTTGTTTTTTCTTCAATTTTGCTAAAGATTAAGAGTATAGATCACTTACTAAAACAAATAACAGCAATTTTTGTTGGCAATGACCCACAAGCCGCAGATGGCAGCAGTTAGTTAACGCTATTAAGCTGGTTTTTGTAAAGCTTCAAACCACAAGCTTGGACTTTTTTTTACACCTAAGCCAAATGAAACTTCCTTTTTATTGTGATTTTGATATTTTAATTAATTATTACACAATACTGATATTGGAATTAAAATATATTGCAAGCTATTTATAGCTAAATAAAGCTAGCCAACGCTACACATTTCTACTATGATTATATTTAAGATTCGAAAAAAAGTAATATCTCACAGTTTTCGATTAGAATAAACTGCTGTTGTTTATTTTTTTATTATTATTAGTTAACTTTTTTGTGCTGAAAAACCTAATAAGCCTAATAATATGCAACATAAATGTCTGAATCTTGGCAAACAAAAAACGTTGCCTACATTTAGTCGCAAAATGAGGTATCTCTCGTTAAAAGCAAAACTTGTCATATTACCATATAAAACTTTTGTTTCAAAATAAATAAAAAATATATATAAGCTGATAACAGACCAAATTCTATGTGTGGTATTTTTTAGCATGTTTGGACGACGGCCTCGATTTAGATATTTATATAATTTACGACAGAAAAAAATTAGCATTGAAATAGTTTCTATGTACAAATATATTTATTACATTCTTATATACCTACATACATGAATACATATGTACTCAAACGCGCTCCACTAATAATATACCATTTTTATTGGGTTGTAAAAATTGCACGCGAACCATTTTTCACAAATGTGCCAATGAAAATGTAAATATGTACATAAGTCGCAGTCTGAAGTGAGTTTTATGCATTTGCATTTGTATTTTGTGCACCAATCAGAAATCGTTATGACGGAGCGTGGATAATTGAAATTTGATGGAGGGGACTTTTTCAACTGGTTAAAACCTAAAAGAAAAACAAACAAACAGAAATTTGTAGATGGAAACGCATACACGTATGTATTGTATATGTTATGTACTTACCACCATTTGAGCTGATGAAAAACATTTGTACCAAAGTGCCCCAAATATGTAAATATGTATGGTACTTTTAATAAAAGAAAAAATTTGAAATTAATAGAAAAATCAAAATGAAATAAAAAATATGTAAAATGTATATATAAAACAGAATATAAAAATAATTATGAAATTATAAAAAAATATATATGATATAAAATAAAAAATCATTAAAAACAAATTAAAAAAAAAATGAAAATGATGAAAAAACAAAACAAAATGGAAAAAGGCGAAACATAGTGATATAAAAAATTTAGAAGTTATAAAATTAAAAACAAGAATGGAAAAATATAAAGTACATGAAAAAAGATTAAAAAAGCCAGAAAAAGGTAAAAAGAACAAAAATTGAGAAATTGGAAAATTATACATAATTATTAAAAAGTAATAAAAATCGTAAAAAAATAAAAAAACAAAGCAGAAATTAAAATAAATCACAAAAAATAAAAGATTTTGACCACCCAAAATTTTTATAAATAAAAAAATATTATCCAATAACGAAAAGCATTAAAAAGAAATTATAAAAAATTAAAAAGTATTTTTGAAAAAATAAAAAAGCAAAATATTTAAAAAATGAAATAAAAAGACAAAAAAAAAATATATGAAAAGTAAAAAAAATAAAAGACTCAAAAGATAATAGAAAAATCAATGCAAGCGTTAATGTTTTTTTTAAAGTCTTTAGCTAATTTTATATAATGTTATGTGTTTTTGTTTGTAAAAAAATTCTTTTAACGCTTTATACTGCTTGTAATGCATAATCCGTTTGTCGTTAATATTTTTTAATGTCTTAGATTTTTCATCCGTTGTTTACATTCAATTAAAATTCTCTACAACAAAACTTAATTGATTACTACGGTAAACAAGAACCGAACCAACGTTTAAATAGTCGCACTCACAAACACGGTGATATTATATATGGATTTATATATAAAAAAAAGTAAATACAATAACGCTTGAACGCCTTAAAAATTTTATAACACCAAATTTGGCGCCAAAGCTTTTTTTTAACAGTTAGCAAACCTATTTGCACACATATTCACAGATACATGTGAAAAATAATTAGATAACGATAGCTGAAATATATTTTCGCAAAACCCATCTTGAAGGAACGAAAAAATATTAATTTCTTTTTTATATGGTCTTAAGTCTCATTTTTCCTTAGTTAAAGAAGACAATAAATAAAAATAAATATTTTTTCTAGTAAAAAAAATTACTATTAGTTAGATGCGTCCTAAATTTAGGCAACGTTTAATTTCTAAGCTACAATAGAGCATCGAAGCAAAGGAAAACGATGCCTACTGTAAGGCGCCTAATAAGTTTTTGATAAGCAGCGCCTACTAAAAACAGTTTAATTTTTTAATAATCAAACTTAAAACATTAATATTTTTTTATTTTATTTTATTTTATTTTTATTTAATTTTAAAGCTTTCAAGTTGTAATTGTTTGATTTAAATTTATATTTTTATGGTATTCTTATTTTTAGTGCTTTAATATTGAAACAGAATTTATGACTCACGAATAAAGCCATATTAATTTTTTATCTCTTATCATGAAGTATATTTTTTAGTATTTAATATTTACCTTCTAGAAATTTCTGGAGCATAAAAATATGAATTATACAATTAAAATACAGTCGCCTGCCATTTGACTATTTGCTTTTAAAACAAGTGTTTCGCTCTGAATAAATATGTACTATATAGAAAAGCAAACAGCAAATGACATAAAAATATGTTTTTATATTTGTTGTAGTTTTTTTTTTTACATTTATTTGCCGCAGCTGTTTCGTGGTTTTATGATTTACCGCCTTTATAGCCTGCAATAATTGTTATAAAACATTAAATATAATCTAACAAAAAAAGCTGTTTTTTCTAAATTCGAAAATTCGAAAAAAACTACAAGCTGCATGATATTAGCGTAAGCGTAAGCGCGCTGAAAGAAAACTAATATATTTAAATATTTTTAGGAATATTCATATGTATGTATATATTTTTTTCATGTAAAATCGCTGTTTTGTTAAACTTTGCTCAGCATTCGTAATAAATCTTAAAGTTTATGTGAAAACTATTTTTATTTTAGTTTTCTTTTTTAAAATGAGCACATATTTGCGGTGACTTAATAACGGAAGGTGTCTGCACGTACTTGTATGTGTGCATGTAATTGGTGCTTGAACATGCACACTTACGTGTATTAGATAGCACATGCGAGCAGTATTAGAAGGAAAAAAAAAATAAAACAAAAACTCAATACTCATTATGTTATGAGCTTAGAAATGAGTTCATCTGTAAATATATACTCATTATATTTTATGTAGGTACATAAGTATATATTCGGTGTTGTATTTTATATATTCATTGCTTTGCGATAAGAGCAGTGTACAAATTGCACATATGCGCTTTTTATGATAAATATATTAAAGGCAAACAAATGAGCAAAAACCCCACAAAAAAAATAAAAATAAAAAATAAATGGCATAAAGGAAAAAAAAAACTAAAGTGTTAATTGAAATTAGTGCGCTCGCGAAAAAAGGTGGTGAAATTCCACGCGTAATTGCACAAAATATGGCGAACGTGCACTTAAAGCCGAAACTTCATGAGCTATTAAATATAGAGCGTTGAGGTTATGCATTTATTTAGAATTTTCTCAGTACATAGGTAGCTAACATATATCTCTCTGTATTGTATTACACTAAAAATTATTACCATTGTTTTGTTTTTGTGATTTTATGGGCGCCGGTTTATCTACTCTGCTTTTGTGCCATTCCTTACCAAACCAAAAAAAAAAACCTCATTATCGCTCATTTGCCATTAAATTTGCTAATATATAAATATATATGTACATATGTATACACATATAAAACGGTACGTACATATTTGCTTGTCTAAAGCAAAGTGTCAATATTGTAAATATTTGTATATATGTATGTATATGGTCTATAGGATAGATTTGAAAATATTAATCAGTTGATGACTGTACTTTTCATACTATGAGCATGTAAAACTGAGTTCAACGTTGAGTTAGCTTCTGTTGGTGTAAATATAAATACTTTTCATAAATATTAAAGGGAAAGTAGTTCAGAATATTATCTTAACTTCAAATTCAAAATTTTACCATTCTACTCCTGAAGGTAGGCCATAAATAAATGCGGTTTTCCAGAAGAAATTAAACGAATAGAATTTAAAATAATGACCAAGAACTTATACTTATTTTAGACATAAGGTCTACTATCATGTTTTCAAAATGATTTCAAGCAAGTGACTGCCATGACTGGCTGAATAAATTCCAGCCCATAGATTTATTTTTCAAACACTTTTTGCTGGAAATCGGAACGTTTCCTTCAATAAGTTGATTGTTTTTAGCTGTCTGGTGTGTAGCCAATCTCCAACCTCCTATTCAGGCACGAACTAGTAATTAATCTTAGCCCTATAGAAATATAGACCAGTGAATCTCTCAGCCCATAGAACACAGCAAACAGTACGGCTTTGAATATGTTTCAACAATGGCTTCTAGGTTATCGTTATTCGTTATGTGGTCATTCACTGAACCTGCGTCTTTTGTATTCAACTCTTGCAAGAATTGGATTTTACAAGCCCATAAAATATTCCATAAAGTGGAAGGGCACAGCTCTAATTATTGCGTGCGATGGCTGATGAACTCATTCGGGTCTTCTTGGATACTTTGCTTCACCGCAGCATAATGAGCCCAGTGCGCACTATGTGGTGTCTCTGATAATGTGCATTATTCACTAAGGTAAACGTGGTGTGAAACTAACCATGGTTGCTCGAATCACCGACTGTGCTGGGCGAATATTGAATGGAATATTATTTTGGTGAAAAAATTGCATCATCTGCAAATGTTGTTCCGAGCAAGTCTGTTTGTTATGAAACGGCAAACCAAACTGAGTATAAATCGTGTGACAGCTGTCAAAAACACGGTAGTTCAAAAAGATGATGCCTCATCAAACACCACCCGTTTAAAATCACGCCTTAGTTAATTATAAACGAAAACTCCTTTAAATATGTTTGAGGTGAATAAGAAGGTGTGTTCAGGAGCTGGGACTTTCTTACGCCACACCGATGTTACCTACATTTAGGCGCACCGTATACTTTTTCCTCTTAGTGTTTAACAAAAAATTAAAGATAACTAAAATGGCGCTACTTGTGTTTGGGTAGTAAATTTTGGGATTTACGGAAAATACTTTTTTTTTTTGCTTGCAAATTAGACAACTATTTGCTTAATGTTTTAACTATTTGGTAACACACGTGGTACAGACAACAACACAGCTTCCAATTCAATTAATATTTGTTGTCTTAAATTTTAGGTTTTCGATTTTGTCAGTTGATTTTTCGTTTACTGAAGGAAGCAAATATTTGCGTACGTACACTTATTTAATGTGTGTGGGTGTACATATATGTATGTAAAGCTACATAAGTATACAGCTGAAAGTACTGTATACAGCTGAAAATACAAAAACAGTTATTTAAGTTTAGTTTTTTTATTTTTATTTTTATTTATTAATTTTTTTCAATTCTTTTTTAATTTTTAATTCTGTTTCAGTTTTTTGGTTTTATTTATTTATACTTTTTCCTACCAAGCAACATAAACTCTGTTGAATTCCAAACAATAATAATTATGCTAAAACAACTTTATTTTAAACGCTATTGTTGTTGCCGCTACAAAGTTGGTGCACAAAAAGCCTTGACTGGGCTAGGCTTGAAGCTCTTCGAGCTTAGCTTTGTTAACTGTCCCGCAGCGGTTTGCGTGTTGTTGCAATTCCGAGTTGGGTTGACCATTTCGGTTTGTTCTTGTTGTTGTTTCTTCGCTTGCAATTAGAGTTAGTTGACCCAGTTGTTGTAATGTGTGGAGAAGTGCACGCATGCGCGTATTTACATATTCATACATTGTACAATTCATGTACTCGTATTTATGTCTTGACATACTTGTTGAACGCAAACAACGCGTGGTCCCATAATTGACAGAACTGAGCGCGCCTAAGTTTGCTGGTTGGACAGACGGCTTTTATGTTTATTTGTTGATGCTTTTGACTTTTCAGTTAGAGTTCATCTGCGGTTCACTTAGTGTTCGGCTAAGTTAAGCTGAAAAAAAATGCGTTAAACAAATTCATCTTCTTTAACTGCCCAAAAATCAACGAGCAACGACAATAATAACAACAATAGTCACAGAGTCATAAAAGCAGGCAAATGCTGTTTGAGCACGTCAGCGTAGACATCAATGCTATTATGTGGTTTACCCAGTAAACCAAATCGTGGGAGGAATACGGCGGTTGGGATAAGACATTTCATTTCGTCGATCTGAGCGTTGCAATTTGCAAAATCACCTTCCCATGCCCTTAGTTTGTTTCTGACCATTTTTCATGCAATTTACGGCTCAAATGCGTTAGCTGAAGTCGATAACGTTTTAGTCTAACTGACTATGGATCTTTTTTTGACATTGATGTTGATGCAGATGACCATGCTTGGCATGGCATTTTTTCTTATTGGGCATATCGTAGCGAAAATCCCTTCCCTCGATGTCTTTTAAGTAGCAGTACTCAGTTGAAAAAGGGCCTTCGGACATCTCTCGGCTTCAACTAGCTTTAACCGAAGGAAATTGTTTGCTGAGTCACTCCCAACGATTCTGCGCATTTTAAAGCCACAAAACTACTATCTGTATGACTTATTCGTCGGCGCCGATTCACCATAAACTCCTACCATTATTTGATGGCATTTTTAACATTAAAATAGAAAATCAAACATTCCGGCAAATGCTGTTTAGTCATCACAAATCTGTACACTTTCGAAGAAGCAAAAAAAAAAAAACAATGTTGTTGTCAGAAACAGGTTCTAATTATTGTTGATAGTTGTGAAACCTTTCCAATGAAATAGGTAATCGCTTCCGAGATCAGCCATAACTTGCAGGTCCAGCCATCTTTTGAGAACGGATCGAATCAATTTGGATCTCATGAAAAACTTTATATATTATATTCTTCAAACTGGGTTCGCGTGATACCCATAAATCTCTAAAATTATGTAATGTGTTTAATTTTATTTCTATCAATTTTAGTTTAAAAATTAAATCTGCAACTCTTCTAAAAATATTTTCATTACAAGCTTTTTCTTTATTCTTTCAGCTCTTTTTTTTAGAATTTTTAAACCTTTTTTTCGTCTTTATATGTATTTTAATCAAAAATCAGACTAATGGACATCAACTCTATTCAAATATATTTTGAAGTTGAGGATTTTCAAAACATTTTTCATCGACTTTTTTTTGCGTTTGGTTGATTGGGTTTACGACTTCGTTTACAGATAGATGAAGATTTACATGCGCTACCTAAATTGCCTAACTACGCGCATACATACTCGTATTTATGTAGTTTCGTCGGTCTGTAATAAAGAAGTGAAATTATTCCGCACAATCGCGTATGACGAACCAAATTGCATTGCTGACTGTGGCATCCACAGCTACCGATGGACTAACTTGTTGACCGCTCTGTTGTTGTGCTTGTCGCTGCTGCTAACCAATTGTCGTCAATGCCTTTGCATTTAGCTGATTTTGTTTTTTTTTGTTTGCTCTTTTGTGAAACGCTTGAATGGTTTCGAAAATAGCGGAACGACTGGGCAGCAGAAATGTACGCATACTCGAAACCGAACGCCAAGTTGGTGAACTCTCACGCAATCTACCTACCTGTACCTGCGCTTAGCGAAGTATTTGCTCAAGCATTTGCATTTCTGTTTAAAGTACATGATTAAAGTAAAGTTGGAATAGTGTACTTTAGTGCAGGCAAGGTGCTGATGGCGATAGGGATGCTGTGTATTTCCATTGGCCCCAACGTGTCAACTAAGGCATAATACCATTGAACTTTAGACGGTGTCCAATTTGAGTATTGAGTTCACCCATTTGCTCAAAAAATTACCAAAAACCATTGGTACGATACCAACCGGTAGGTCGGTCAGATGTCACTAGACCAAACTTTTGATAGCTTTCGCTAGTTACGAGGACCAACATTCTCAATACCTCTTCTCCGGCTTTGTCTCTCTCTCTCTCTCTCTCCCTCTCTCTCTCTCTCTCTCTCTCTTTTTCTCCCACTCTCTCTCTGTACAGTCTTTCAACGGTAACGGTGTCGCTATGTTAGCAAGTTAGAGTTTGAAGATTGTACCCGCGCTACGGAAGGTCTGCCTACAATTGGCGAATAAAATTCAAACGTTGCCGCGACAGATGGGATCTTAATATTAGAACGACCAGACTGCCGTTTCTAAAATACTACCCGAAAACAAATTAGCGGAAATTCATTACAGTTATAACGACAACAAACCCGGAGTCTTTTTTGGTATGGGATTCAACAAGTGACCGAATGTTATCCTGTCAAACAAACAAGAACAGGCAAGGGAAGGCAGTTAAGTAACACCAAAAGCTCCATCAGTATCCAGAAGAGCCATTCCGAGTCGTACAATACTGAACTAATGTTCCAGACAAGATGACTCTTCATCGTGTCTAGAGTGGGTAAGGAAGCGCAGATAATGAGCTTTTAATTTGAATACGGTCCACGGTAGAAAGATGAGCTGTATGGGAGCTGGTTTTACTTGATGTCTCTAACGGAGTCACACAGCGAAAAAACGACTGGGGCACTATTGTTGACTCGGCTAAAATAGCGTCACAGATGTGTCAGTTAAGAAGTAGAAGAAATGGTCAGACATAACGGGGCTCACATGTTTCACTCTAACTTTTAAGAGTGCTACAGAATAATTTTTAACGGAAAAATCGTTCTCAGATTGAGTGTAATTTTACGATTTTTTGATATATCCCGTACGATTCTCTCTCAGCGCTCAAGAGCTTTGATGACTTTACCAGGCTTTAAAGCCTTAAAGCTCTTATTAAGTATACAATAGATGACGCTGTAGAATGAAGTCTCTTTATTAGAATAAAATATCTAAGCAAAAATTGTAATAAATAAATTATGATATATATATATACCTATACAGACATACATATGTATGTTTACTCAATAAATAACTAAACTTATAAAAGACATGATAATTTTTACCTTTACAATTTTAACCTTAAAAGTTTTATTGCTATGTCTCCAACTTATTTACAATGAAGTAAATAAATTTATTGTCAATTGTATATGCAAATGCACAGTTATGTAAAAACATGAACTGAATTGTCTGAAAAAAAAGAATGAATATTTTTTTTTTTAATTTAAGGTTGGATACACCACAGAAATTCAATGTTAAGTTAAGTCACAAATTGAAAATTGAGTCCGAAAAGCTTCCTAAACACAGAAAGTGTTCTGTAGAAAGCTCCTTAAATTCTTTTCACAGTTTTATAATTCTCTTATTTTATTTACCATTCTTATGCAACACCTTTTCTAACCCGATCATCCTCTCCTCTCTTTTCAGCCTACAAAAGACCCGAATGCATCCGATCCACTCGAAGACAGCTGGTGCTGGGAGCCAGATAATGCCAAATCAGATAACGACCATTCCTCCGAGTCGTCGAGCAGCGGTAATGGCCACGAAATGGTCAACATCACATTGGAGGAGGTACCACTGGGTCGTAGTGCCCAAACTTCCAACAGAAAGCGCGCTGCTAGCGAACAGATCGCTGCGCTCCGAAAGCGTAATAAAAAGTTGGAAGATGAGAATAAACAGTTGAGTTTGTCACTCGAAGAGTTGGATAATCAACACAATCAGGCTATGCAGAATGTGCTCGAGCTGAAAACTGAGCTGCAGGCGAAGCTAAACACCGTCACCCACAGCTATGAGGCACTGAAAAAAGAGCATGCCGATAAGTTCATCAGCAGCGAATTGGAAATGGCGCGTCTGCAGAAGCAGCTGGACGATTTGGTGCAAGTGCAAGGTGCTTTTGAGTCCGAAAAGCAGCAGTTACAGACGCAGGTGAGCAACTATGAGGCGGAGGTGAAGAAGTCCATTGAGGATATGGCTGATTTGCAAACACTACTCGATAAGAAGACACAAGATAATGTTGAGCTTATTGAGAAGGTTAAATCTGCCGGCCGTTTGGCGGATGAATCTGAAGAAAAAATCGCTGATTTGCAGCAGCGTATCGAACAACTTACGAAGGAGCTTGAAGAGGCCAAGCAAATGAAGGAGAAGAAAACCTCAGAGTCTTCAACCAGTTCAACAGGCAAACAAAGCGAAGACGAATTCATAGTTGTACGTGATGGTGACGGTAACTCCTCCGGACCCGCCACGCCGCCGACAAAAGAAGAGCTCAAAGATAAAATTGTGCAATTAGAGAATCGAGTTTCGGAGTTGACTTTAGAGAATGGCAGTTTAGCGTTGAAACTGCAAGACTGTGAGATGGAGAAAGAGCTCTCGGCGAATGTGTTGCGTGAGAACTTGCAAGAACTACAAACACGCTGTGCGGACACTGAGGCAGCACTGAAAGTTGCCACGGAACAATTGGATGATCAGCAGGAAAAACTAGACACCCTGAAAGAAAAAGCGGCTGAGACCGTCATCGCCCAGCAACAGTTGAAAGCACTGGCAGAGGAGAAGGAAAAGATTGAAGCGGAAATTGTAAGTATGAAGGAGAACATGCAAAGCGCTTTAGAGCTGGAAAAACGTTTGCTCTTATCCGAGAGTGAGAAGGAAAATCTGCAGATAGAGTTGCAGAGTTTGCGTGCGACACAGGAACGCATAACAGAGCTGGAGGGCAAAGTGCAAAATCTCATTGTAGAGAATCAGCAGTTGCGACTGAACGCAGAATCAGAGACAGAGCTCGCGGAGCGCATCAAGTCCTTGAACGAGGAAAACGAAAGCTTGCGCGCCGAATTAGAATCAATAGCGCAGGCGAAATTCAGGGAGGCTATTGAAGAAGAGAAGCAAGAGATCACGGATTTGGATGCGGACGATGATGAGCCACTGACCGTCGATAAAATACGTGAGTTGCTCAGCGCACACATAAAGTCGAAACTCACCAGCGAAATGGAGGAGGCCTGTCGTGCTGTGCAAGAGCGTGTCACGCGTACCGTCAATGCAATGGAGCGCACCATATCGCGTTTATCTGAAGAAGTACTCGATTTGCAGGATAACAAAATGGTTTGGGATCACGAAAAGAAAACGCTCGAGGCAGACATTTCACAGTATATACTACAGTGTGACGAACTGATGAAAAACAACGAGATACTGCTGAACGAACTCGAAAACTATAAGCGCAACAAGCTAGAAACCATACACGAACACAACGAGGAAAGTGTCATGCAGTTGGAAGCACAGTTAGAGGAGTCGAGCAAGTTGAATCAGTCGCTGGAGCAGGAATACGATGAGCTGAATAAAAAGAACGATGAGCTCGAAAGCGAAAAACAGTTGCTGAACGAGCAGCTACGAGAGGCACAACATAAATGCGATGAACTGTGCGCTGCCGAGAAGGAACTGAAATTGCAACTCGAGACTTTGGAATTGGAAAAGGGAAATCTTTTGTTTGAGCTCAACGAACACGAGTCCAAGGAGTCCAAGCAAGCTGACGGTGATGTGCTACTCCAGAGCGCTGAAGACAAATGCCAAAGCCTTGAGAGCCAGTTAGCGCGCTTGAGTAAAGACCACGCTGATTTGGTAGCAGCCATGCAGACGCAGAAAACCGCTTTGCAGGAGGCAATATTGAAACGCGAGGAGGCAGACAAAAAATTACTAGAAAAAGAAATGTTGATTAAACGCATGGCTGAAGATCTGAAAGAAGAACGGAATGTGGATATGCAAAAGAAACTCGATGAACTTGCCACGCTCACTGAGCAATTAAAACAGGAACTACTGGCGAAAGATATAGTATTGGAGAGCCAGAAAAAAGATCTGATTCAAGCGCAAAGTGACGCAGAAAAGCTAAGATACAGCGAAGGCAAGACAAATGATCTTGAAATATTGTTGGTAGAAAAGGAAAACGCATTGATGGATTTGAGCAAACAACTGACTGAGTGTCAAAGTGCAAAGGGCGAGCTGAATAAACAGCTCCAAGAACAAAGAGCGACTAACGAGCAAGTAACGCAATTGAAGCAGGAGAAAGAAGTGCTGCATCGTGAACTTGAGGAGCTCAAGACGAAATGCGAGGCACACACTGTCGAGCTGAAAGCGCTGCAAGAATCATCAGTCACATCCACGAGCAACGATGCGTCCGCCATAACACGCATTGCCCAACTAGAAGCTGAGCTGCTCGCAACAGCTGACCTACCGAAGATCGTCGAGACATTGAATTACGAAAAGAATGAAATGATCAAGGCTTTGCAGCAGAAACATGCTGAGAACATGCAATACTACACAGAAATTCAGCGTCTCCAGCCAATGGTGCAACAACTACAACAACAGCTGCAACAAAGCACACAAGCCACAAATACTTGCGATAAATGTCCGATGTACGAAAGTACTTTGACAGATCTACGAAAGGAGTTGGAGAAGCAACATGATCAAATTAAATTCCTCAAAGAGAAGTCCGACATACTCACGACAAATTTGCTAACGGAACAGACCAACCAAAGGCTGGTGAAAGAGGAGAAGGCTGAGGTGGAGGAACAGAATGCCGCTATACGGAAGGATTTGGAGCGTTTGCGTGAGCATTTGCTGGAAATTGAGGATATGCACACACAGGAGACAGTCGAAATGCAACGCGAGCTGGATGAGACCAAAGCGAAGATGGCGGCGCTGCAGGATGATGTTTCCAAGTCGAAAAATGCGCACACATCGGCGAGGTAAGTGCAGATAGGCAAGAAAGGTGTTGACTGAGAGGTGTGGGGTGAGTGCGGAAGTATGGTGGAATTTGGTAGAGAATAAGGAAGCGTAGATTTCTATTGGTTACCCATAATTTTTCACTGATTTTGTTAGATATAGAATGAATAACTGCAAACGTTATAGTTTAGAATTAATTTTTTTGACTGAAATATGGACAATGAAAAACATTAAAATCAGGCGACGAACCCGCGTTGCTTCATCACAAAATGAATTTTGAAAAATGCGTTTTAGGTTAATATTTTCAAAATTAAATTGCCAAGTATATTTAATTTCGTATTCTGCTTACAAATCATGGTAAAATATTGACTGTTACAACCGTTGATATTGGACTGTTATATCACATAGTTCTCGTACGGCCGACTGTTCGAAAATGCTGTGTTGAGTTAAAAATCGCAAATGTAAGCAGCCAAAAAGTTGAAATTTTGTGTTGTGCATCTGTAGCGCCATTTGAATGTTGAAAGTCAAAATCATCATAATCGGCCGACCATAACTATCACCTCCCCTACAGCTGACTGTTCGAAAAAGCGTTTCTGGGGGAAAGCTTTGATATTAAAATAGTTATGAGCACGAAACCAGGTATTTCGAGCCATTTTACTGTGTGGTCAGTTGGTCGAATTTTAGCTGCTTTTCCAGAAAATAACGGTTCTTCTTGCTTTAACTAAGTTTGTAAAATAGCTTTCGGAAAAGCAATTTGTGCCAGAACAGAAGCGAAAATAGAATATATCCAAAGAAAATATTGGAATGTTCCGAAAAGAAATATTTAACTAAAATGCTTTCCCTAATAGAAAAACGTGCTTTTATGAAATATATTAAATATCTTTCTAACGTTCCTATGTATGTATGTACTTATGTATTTATGTATGTATACGATAAATGGTGTTGTTTACACAAGTGTACATACACACATACAAAAGAAAAAAGCCCCGCAACACCTGCCTCGACGTCTTTCGGCGCTGCTAATGTGTACATATATATGAGCATGAGTGTATGTGGGTACAGTAAGCATAAAAAACAGAAAACGCCTTGAAAGTATAGTAAAAATTATCACCTAATTACCGAGCAAACAATATGTTTTCAGCACCCAGTGCCTACAGCGCCAGGCGGGGGTGTGTGTAGCGCCGAAACCGAGACAAAGCGATACAAGCTAAACGTATACCTACCCATGCATACTTACATACAAATGTATTTGTGTATAAGAAAATAAAAACTGTATATACACATTGCCGGCAGCATGAAATTACCGACGGCTGGACGGACTTCTCTTCATCGCACATTTGCTTTAGTGCCTTCTGTTTGTTTTTCTTCTTCTTTTTCACTGTACACTTTCTCCCCGCCAGCAACTCCCTTACGCGAATATTGCACCGGCGGCAGCGCACACGGCAACAGGGCGGCTGAGGCCGGCAAGCGGTGGTAACAGTTGCTGTTATCGCTTTTAAGCCTTTCGTTAAGCTTCGTCACGACTCACGGCAATTGGTTTGCTAGGCGATAACAACGTGTCACAAAGCGTTGGAAATTAGTTTAGTTGAATTCGATAGCGAGGTGACGACGCAGGTGAGAAAGCAGGCAGCCGGGCAGGTGGTGGCGCTGGAGGGTCGCTGTTATTTTAGTGCGATCGGTGTCGCCAGTGTCGTTAGGCGTTTGCTGTGACTTCTACTCTGGTTGTTGTTATTGTTATTGTTACTTCTGCTGTGCCATTGTTACTGAATACTGCAACCAATGCGCATTTGCAATGCCGCAGTTAAATTAGAACATTCTCACCGACCGGCGCGGCTGGCTCATTACTACGCGATGAACGGACGGATCGCTTACGGTAGTTGTTGGTTTCTTTCTGTTTGAGGTTAGCACTGCTGATACGCTGCAAAAAAAAAAAAAAAAAAACAACATAAAAATAAAAAACAATTCATTAGTTTCGTGTTGGCAATAAAACAAATTAGATTTATACACCGCACCACCTCCACCTACATCTCCACCACCAACGGTTATCATAATTTCTGAGAAAATGCATTTACTAAATGACATTCTTCAATTTTCCACAGTATACGCGCCAATCAACATGCGGAGACATTACAGGCGCAGTATGCGCTGGTGCTGCAGCAACGCGACGAGTTAGTCAAGAAGTTGAGCTTGGCCGAGGACCGGGAGTCGAAGAATCAGGCGGCGTTGTGTAATCTACAATGTGCGCTGGAGCAGTTCCAAAATGGTGAGTTGGCACAAGTAAAGCAGAGCTAAGCACGACCGAAACGAACAGTTACTGGCCGCCCGTTACACAGAAAGTGTTGACGAGCTACTTAGGCTGGCTGAATTTTCCAATACATAAAATACGAATGTCCAGAAACTAGGTGTAAAAAGTTCATTACACGACTTATTTGCTGGCGAAATTCTAGAAAGATATTTCAATTTTAGCTTTAATGGTCGTGACATACCTGGCTAAATCAGTTTGTCTCGTAATTCTAAGAAGTTCGGTTTACATATGCGTATATCTAACTCCTTAAAAATAACGGTTTAGCGAATAAACCTGACTTACTTCTACACACAGTACAGCCGGTTATAAAAATAAAATTGAATCTTAACCTAACCTCACTCTTGTACGAGTATTTGAGGTTATGCATGTATGCCTATATGTTTAAAGTGCTACTCTTCTTCTTTCCCCTCTAGACAAGCAAAACGACATCAAAGCCGCTACGCATAGCATACGCAAGGAGCTGCAACAGGAACAGGAGAAGCAAAAGCAGTTCCAAGTAGAGATCGGCGCCTTGCAGCAGCAACTGGCCGAGGCCAAACAGGGTTTGTGCGCGGCGGCAAGACTCACCGATCAGTTGGACGCGTGTCAGCGTACGATTGGCGTGCTGCGCGAAGAGGGTGATTATGAATTATCTGTTATTTGTTTAAAACTGTAAATAAACCGGTGAGGAATAACTGCGAGAGGGAAAATACATATATTCATACAACATATATGTATATGGTACACTAACAAATATAACAATTTTTTCCTAAGTATAATATACCAATTATACTCGATATGCAAATAAATGAGCCGGAAAATTGTTGTTACTAACCAAGCAAGCACCCACAAACCGCAATATATATACTTATGTACCACGTCAGCCATAAGGGAAATCTTCAATAAACGCACGCAAACTGGCTTTTGGCATTAATGAACTGTATAATTATGATTTTTTCTAATTTGGTTTTAATTAATAATAATAACTGTTTTGTGGAATGAGAGTTTTAAAAATCAAAAAAGTTAATCATAACCAAATATTGTTTAAACTTGAAATATTTTGTTGCAAAGTTTCCCTTAAGCCACGCTGATTTGATTCTTAAAGGTAAATATCAGCTGGTAATTCTGGGATTTTATCAATTTTCAAACACTCGGAATTTCAGTTGGTATACACTTTTACGAATTCTATGTAGTCATCGCAATGCAAATGCAAAACTAAAAAAAAGAAAAAAAAAACGAAAAAAAATAATCTATTTAAAAAAGGTATATACATACTTATCATGAGCATACCAACCCAATACACCATCAACAACACCCCCACCGACCACCAACCACCGCCACAGACCACCTCATCCATCGAACTTACAATTCGTTTGTTAATAAAAATAATATATTATAATATAAATATAAACACAATCATTAATCACTGTCTCACTGCTTGGCTCGTTCAGAGTACACATAATCAGTCAATAAAATCATGATAGCTGCTGCGACATCATTGCTCACCTCACCATTGCTCATATCACCACGCAAATTGGCGTAGTCGCCTTCGTAAGCAAAGTAACCTATTCATGGGCCATTTCAGCAGGATTTTTCGGTTGATGGATTGAACATTTTTTAATTGATTTATAATAATTTTTATTTGTTGTTCTTATTTCTAAAACAAACCTACACTTTGCGCTCACCTGCATGCATATATATGTGATTTCTAACGTTTTTATTTCACAAAATTAAATATAACAAAAATTATTATGCCGCCGTATAGTCATATATCATTATTCCTGATATCAAATATTATATATTACTTTATTATATGTAAATATTTATATACTCGTAAACCTTAAGAGCATACACACACATGTGTATATGCTATTATAAATCCTTTTTAGTTTAGTAAGCATAAAAAGTGTAGTAAATAGGTAGAGTGTGTAGTGGTATCATCATAATATTCATATAACTGTTTTTCAAAAAGCTATTTCATAATTTTGTAAAATACATTTAGTGGCTCATTTTTTTTTTGGACTTTTTGTATTAATAAGCATACATAGCTTCTATTAAGATCGTTAGTTAGGAAGAGATGCCGATGTGAGAACACAGCTAACTTCTTTCCGGCTCTATATCCGCCAAATTGGCATTTATCATGGCGTCATTCTTTGAGTAGTAGCTGTTCGTGGCAGGCGTGGGGAGACAAATTAACTCGGTCCGTTCTGGTATTGGAGGCGATTACCTATTTCATTGGAAAGGCATCACATCTGTCCGCAATAATTATTGTCTGCTTCTGCCAAGAAGATTGATTTTTTTTGCCTCTTCGAAAGTGTACGGATTTGAGTTAAATAAACAGGATTTGCGGAAACTTTTGATTATCCATTTCCATTCGAAGAAAAGCTCGTCTGTAGCCCATCGTAAAGGCATGGAGACAGTTGTTTCTACTCTACAAAATTAGCTATTTTAACGTTGAAGACAAAGAGCGTCTTAGTCAACCCAAAAAAGGTATGGTGCAGCTTCTAAAACCAGGCGATAGTAGTGATTCTAGACGTTGTCGACTACAACTAATGCGTTTGAGACGAGCATTCCTTGAAAAACATCCAAAATCGATGGCAGAGCATGACAAAGTGGTTTTATAATTTTACAACAATCAGACCCATGTGACTGTAACGATCAAAAACCAGTCTGAAACCGCAGAAATGTAAGGTCTTATCCCAACCGCAGTATTTCCGGTTTTGAAGAAAAGAAATCGAGGACAGAAAGTACTAATTTTTTATAGATGGCAATCGAAAATTACCATAAACGGACCGAATCAATTTGTCAAACAATAATTCAACTTGATTCTTAAATTTTTGAATTTTGGTTTTGAAATATCGCTCCAAAAATCGTAAATATGAATTTTTTACCATTTATATTTTTTTTTAATAATAATAGCCATTCAAATTCTCATTGTATCGATTTATGTATCGATTTATGACCTTTTTCAAGCCAAAGTTTTATATTTCTATGAATGAAGGAAACTAGTTTCTTTGGTATAAAACAGCTGAAAGTTTATAATCTTTTTTTAATAAATGGTTTTTTGTTTTTTAACAAAGGTCTAGGAATTCCTTTCTGTTCAATACGTAGTTTTCGATGTAATCATGTAAGCAAAGCCTATGGAAAAGGATAATAATAAAAAGATTTAGGCAGTTTTTACGGATGAAATTTTTTTGGGGAATCTTAAATATGGATTCGAATTTCATAAAGACCTAGCTATTTGAGCACCTGGAGCCAAACAATACTATCATTCTTAGTGGCTGTAGTAAGCATAGTACAATGTTTTTTCTATGATGATTTATGATTCCAAATCTGAATTTTCAGTCCGTTTTTTAAGATTGATACTAGTTTTTTTCCCATAAATTGTTTGAAATTTGTGGATTTATGGTTACTATCATTATTCACCAGCCGAGTGATGGCAGAAAGCTGTCACCACGGGAGAAGTCGGAAAGCACAGTCAATATTGCTGTATGGAAATTGTGTTAACAATTATTATAATCTACTCGGGGCCAAGAGTCGACTTGAATTTATTTGCTTGTGTAGTTTTAGTTTAACTCTGTAGAATTTTTAATATTAAATATTTTTTAATTAACAATTTACACATATAATATATATTTTAGTATGCTCTACCTTACCTTGTGTTAAGCCTCTTTTAGAATTTTATAAATTAGTTTGCTATTTACTTTGTATATTTTTCTTTGTAAGTCAATATTATTATATTTTTAAAAATACTATTTTTTAGTTAGTATTGCTTTCTAGTATTTTTTTTTTATAATTTTTGATACTTTTTCTCAAAACCGCTTAGTTATAAACTAGAAAATAATTTTTAATTTTTTTCTGAATTATAATTTTTTTTCTATTTACTTGCGTCCCTAGTGTCCGATGCAAAATTGGTTAATCTCAATTTGTAACTGTGAGCGAAATCGATATGCTGAACTCACGTTGCATCTGGAGATTGCCCGACGTTGTATCCGTTTCTACATTCTTTGTTATTGTTCTACTTGTTGTTGTCGTTGTTGTTGATTTACACACTGATCAATTTATTTACATAAAAATATGATTTTAACTGATTTTTTTTTTGCTGAATTAAATTATTTAGTTTGCATTATTTGCCTGCGTTTTCTCGCCTTGCCTACACCTCTTACTGTACTTGGTATGAATTTGTATAAAAAATATCAATATATAATGTAAATTAGTTTCTTAAATGCCATACCTATCTATATCACTTTTGTACAAATAGCAACTTTCCTTACAAAAAAAAAAAAAAAAAACCATAAAAAAGTGCGCACCATCCACAACGTTTCCCCCGACGTGATACACGATCCCTTTCGTTGCGTTCGTCCGGTTGAGTATTACATCAGGTACTGGTGTGTGCTATAGCTCCTTATAACTACCAGTACTTATGTCATACTGTCCTGGATGATACGCCTTATACTGCATGCATAACAATAACAACGTTGGAAAAAATGTTATACAACTTTTTCAAAAATAATTAAACCAAAAATATATAAAAATGAAGTAAAACATGAATGCCTGCAAGGAAAAGTGCTTGAAAAATTAACTCACTAAATGATTTACCAACGTACATAACTATTTTATGAAATATGTTTCTACTTAATTATTAATTAATTTTTTAATTTATATTGAAGTATTTTCCTCACAATTCGTATTAAATTTACTAATTTTCCTACATATTCCCTCCAGTCGAAACGCTGAAGCATGAAAATGCACAGATCTCTACAAAGCTAAGCGCCAGCGAGTCTAGTCAGTCGGACAAAATCGAGAAGAGTCTAATAAAAAGTTTACTAATTGGCTACGTGGTGAGCAGTAATCCGAATGACAAGAATCAAGTTCTGCGTATGATTTCCTCTGTATTGGACTTTACGCAAGGCGAATCGGATAAAGTGGGTCTTAACAAGCAGCAATCGAGTTGGTTCGGCGCCATCTTGGGTGGTGGTGCAGGCGCACAAGGTAACACAGAGTGCACTTTCGAATTTGAAATATTCTTCTTCACATTTCTACCTTTTCATTTATTCCACAACCCCACCATACAGGTGTACATTCCAAGGAAAATTTAGTGCAAGCATTTGTACAATTTCTCGAGCAGGAGTCACAGCCGAAGACAGATGACAACAATATGCCAAATTTGTTAAACATCACACAACAGAGTAACACTATGCCAACCGCTTCGGGTAGTCAGCCCGCGCGTCGTATATCCACATCGAGCAATAGCGGCGCTACAGCGCCATCTGTAAACTCACCAGCGTCCGTACCCGTGCAGCCAATTTTGCTGAATGAATTTGCGCCGTCGCGCAATTCCAGCTCAATATTAAAAGATATTCTAAATGACTCTTGATTCTTGTAAATACATTTTGTTTTTGTATTTTTCTTGCTGTAGTTACCTTTATTTTATGTTTAAACACACATACGCATATTATTTCCAGCATTAAATGATATTTTGTTTTAGAATTAATAAGTACACGTGCACATATAATTAATATTTTGTTGCCTTAAAGTTTACTCTGTTTTCTGTGTCGTGAATCGTTTTGTACACGTCCTGAATATTTTTAAATTTATTTCGTACCTACATATATATAAATGTTTACCTATGTAGTCGAATTTTCTGCTATATGATTTATCAATTGTCTGTAGATATATATCCGCACTAAATATTTCTTATATGAAAAACACTACTTGTACTCCACTATTGTGATTTGTAGGCGTGGCGAAAATAAGGGAATAGATAAAAAATATAAGAATTTCGGTATGTAGTAATATGGCAACCTGCAATCTGTAGTCACTAAGTATTTCAATATACATATATACATATATGTACAAACCCATGTACATGTAAGCAAACCATTTAAAGAAAAATAAATAAAATAAATATTTTAACGTAATAAAATGCAATATCGATGTATTTTTTATTGTACAAAGGATTAAGCAGACTTTTATTTTCTATTTTTTTTATTTTTATGGTGAAAAAAAATTTGTAAATTGTCAATTCGCCAATTGTAAATACCAATTACCAGCTAGGTTCTGCTCCAACTGATATTTTCAACGGAGTGCAGGAGTTCCCTTTCCCCTACTTCCACATGCAAGTACTGTCATTGACTTAGATGACATGATCTAGCTATCATAGCCGCTGTCCCTTGAATTCATCAGATGTTGTCATTGCTCAGACCTCCGCACCATAGCAGAACTGTGATTTGTAGAGTTTGGAGTTTGTTCATCCAGAGAGAACTTAATTTTTCTTTTGACGGCTCTGTCAAAAGATAAGCTCACATTCTCTTGCCCTCGTCCACTTCCAGACCACCTTGCCTTACCCAGTCAGGAGAAAGCAAAGCTCACAGCACTGCTGTTGACCCCAAATGAGTTGCGAGGTAGCAGCCTGTTTTCTCTCCACTGCAGCACGGTAATCCTCATTGTACCAAGTGTTTTTTTCAACCGATTTGTTCAAGTAAGATAAGAGAATTAATATTTAAACCTAGAATTAAATACCATAAAATTGATATGGCCATGGAAGGTCCAAGGATGATTTAAGGTTTTTTCTCCTTTACTTGCCTTTTTTCGATCGAATATTTAATTAATTTTTCCACAAATAAAACTCGTTTTTGGTTGACATTTAGACACAAAATCTCTGTTATTTTATGTATTTCTGATTTATGTTTCGTGTTTTTGTTTTGTGTTTTTTTTTTTTGTTATACAATTCGTTAATTTAATTCAATTTAATTTAATTAAGTTACTTTATCATGTTTTCACTAAAGGTTTTACTTAAAAAATATTTAAATACAATTATAAATAGGAGATATTCTAAAACTAAAATAAACAATTTGAGTAAAAAATAATTCAGCAATTCAGAAATAATATGTAAATTTATATGTTAATAGGTTTTCGGTTTTATTTACAATATTAAAAGCTAACAAATTTATCATTAAGAAATGGAAAACAGTTTAGTTTTTACTCCTGCTTTTTTTTGTTGGGCAATTTTAAGGGCAACAAGGTATCATCAGCTACTATGTAATACGACAAGATTATACATATGTATATATATGTATATATAATATGTATGTAAGAATTATATAACTGTTTGGTTTGAACTTATAATTTAATGCATATATACACATACATACATACGAATATGTACCAATTCGGTGTAGGTTTAAAATATTTAATATTTTTGTTTCAACACTTTTCTTCGCAACAATTTCCATATACTTTGAATAAACCTCTTACACATCATTCAACAATTTCATACATAGATAAATATATTATATATATATATATATATATTTGTAATATATGTTAAGTAAATATAAATTTATATATATATGTATGCATGTTTATATACAAGAAAGTAACATCAATTATATAATAAGAATATTCAGCTATGATTTCAACAAACATACGATACACACATGTGTGTATGTATACATAAATATGTCTGTATGCATACAATGATTATGCTAATATTTGATTGCGCTAAGAAATAGTTTACTCTTTTCTTTTTAGAATTTTCACATAAAATCTAATTAAAATATGAATGTTTGTAGAAATGTGCTGCTTCTTGTTTAAAAATATTTTCTTTGTATAAAAAAAGATTTTTTTCTTTGCGCAATTTTTCTACTTTGTGCAGAAGTTCGTTTCTTTTCGTCTCTTTTGGCCTGCATCTGGTTATTTGAAAATATTTTTTTTAAATTATAAAATTTTAGAAATAAGTTTACCTAATATTTAAAATAGTTCTAAGACTTTGCTACTTATTCCAACTACAAAGTGAATTTTCTTTAGTTATTTTTTTTTATAAGTTTTATACACTATAAATAAATTTTATTTCACTTAAATTATTGTGAGGAAATTTACATAAAAAAAAAATTATTTGTTTTTTGCTCTGTTCGTACAAATATAAAAAATTCTTTTTGGCTTTGAGTAAAAAAATATGTATGTAAGTTTTTATGAAAGCATATTTTCTTCGTTCAGTTTGAGTTTGAGTTTGCTGCTCGTGTTTGCATGTTTGTGTGTATGTGCGGCTTAGATTGGCTAGTACGGGTGCTTGGTTGGAAGAGTTTATTTTATTGAATTTTTTTTTTTACATACATTTATTTACATATATCTATAGAAATGCGTTGCTCAATCTTTAGAAACTTTTTGGTTGTATTTAGATAATATTAGAATTTTTTTTTAGAAATGCTTCCATATTATTTTTAGAAAATTTTTTCTTTTTTTTGAATTCCGTAGAATGCATAAAAAAAAAACTTTGGAAACTGAAGCAATGTTTTTTTTATTATTATTTTATGTGAATTATTGTTACTAAGAAAAAATATAAAAAGAAAATTAATTATAAAAATAAACATTTGACATAGAATTTTATTCGTTAGAAATATTTTGATTCAATCGTATTTAAAAAGAAAAAAATATTTCCCTATCAATTTTTTCGAAAATGTTTTTTTTTTGTATAAGCTACATGAAAAGAGTTATCCATTTTGTGATTTCCAAAGCACAGGGATGTATTTTGACATCTGGCAAACTTAACAGTTAAACCAAATATGCTTTGCTTTCGTTAGAAGTCAGGCAACTGCACAATCCGTTAAAATTACAAAAATGCTCTTTCAATGATGGCCACCGAGATCGTGCGATTTTACACGTTGCCGAGGGGGTCATTTCAATGAAGTAGTATATGACATACGTGTACAAGATTGAAACTTTATAATAAAGAAGGAGTTTCATGAAGAAAACTATTTTGAATTTCTTTTACTTTTTTTTATTTTCTAAACCACAAAATGGATAACCCTCTAAAATAAAAAATATTTATTTCGAATTAGAAAAAAGAATTGAAATGAAATTTTTTATTACTTTATCTGCTTTTATAACAGCATTAGGGGTATGTAAATATGTATATTATGTTTTAAGTATTTTGTAATTAAAATCCCTTGTCTGAAACTACAGTTATTATTAATCTTTTTCACTATTATTTTAACACTAAGACATTGAAAGCCAGATTCATATATTCATATATTCGTATATAACATGTTTGTTTGTATGCATATATTTCTTTAAAGTTTGCCTCAACTGCTTATAATTTCAAAATTCCAACATTCGTTAACAAAATAACAGTATCTCAGCACTAAGCTCCAAAAAAACCAATACAAGCAGCTCAGCCGTTGTCCCATACTCTAATACTTTAACAAAAACAATAACTTCTCAGCACATATTTAAGTGTTTAGTTGTGTCGTTATACATTTATGACACGACTTTCAATCAACAAATTTTTCGCATAGTCTCAACCCACCTTTATGCACAATATCACAATTAAGTTGCCTAATTATACATTTTTTTCTCGTCTCATATTCCTAAAGTTCATGTACACCCCCCTTCCGTACATAATATAAATGCAGTTATTGAAACCTCTCCATACTTCAAAACCCGTTTAGTTTTCAGTAAGGCCTAAGGCCAGTGTTAGGCAATTTGCACTTAATTCTCTCTTGCACTCTCAAAAGTCACACACACGAAAAACTCCACGATTAATCACGAGTAAGATTCGTTCGTTAGACCTTTATAGTTCCCCGTTAGATGACTCTCGTGCACCTTCGGTTGCCGTTCAACCTAATACCCGTAAGCCTCTACACGTTGCGCCTGACTAACGCGCACTTTCTCATCGGATAGTCATTTGTCAGCATCACAGCACTTGATTTCCAATAAAAATAATTTTTTCCTCGTTCACCATACACAGATCACTGAGTTGTGTGCGTTTTTAGGTATCCTCTTTGCTCGTTGAGCGTACAGTCCCTGCTCGTCCGTTCACATCACCGTTCTCTAATTTATGCACGCCACCTGGTTCGGCTTGTGTTTCTTCTACCGCCGCATCTTTTTCTGATTTCTCCATAGGCTCCCTATCCTCCTTGCCCTCTTCCCATTCACCTCTGCGTATTGTATACAAATAAACTTCCATATGGTCTTTACCCTTCACATATACACTGCCTCGTGGCTCGAACTCATACTTGTCCTCCAGCAGCGGTAGACAATCCTTGCCTATTTGAATGCGATTCGGCACACCTGTCGAGTCCATTCGTGATGCCACATTCACTGCATCACCCCAGATGTCATAGTGCAGTTTACTCGTGCCAATGACGCCAGCTGTGACGTCACCGATGTTCATGCCAATACGTAGTATTAAGTTGAACTCGAGTAGATCCTTGTTGAAGGCGTCAACTACTTCCTGCATCGCAATGGCGAATTCCATTAGCGCATGTATATGTTCATTCTTCTCGCCTCGGTGTGATGGATCGAGTCCACTTGCCGCCATGAAAGTGGAACCGATAGTCTTGATCTTCTCCACACAACGGAATTCAGGACGGGAGAGCAGTTCGTCGAAGTCGCCGATCAGCTCGTTCAAAACACGCAAGTATTCTTTGCCACCGAGGTAGCTCTCGTCGTACATTTCGTTGAAATTGACTATGGACGCGAAGATGATGGCTACATTGTGGTGATTCTCGGAGTATTTCGCGGTATTTTTAAGATGCTCAGCCACATGTTTGGGTATGATGTTGTGCAGCAGCATGTCTGCTTGGTTTTTCATGTTTTGGACGCGTATCTTGTCTTGATTGGCCACCGCGTTGCCGTAGAAGGTCAGACGGTAGCCGATCTCGAACTCCCGATTCAAAAACCCAACCAACACTAGTATGAGTAGTAGGTCCAAATAAATTTCCACGTGATAGTCCTGGAACCATTTGATTTCCTCGATTATATAGTTTCCACCTTCGGCTCCGGGATAGGGCAAGCGTGTTGCGTTTTGTGCCAAAGCTGCGGCCTCAGCTGCATCTGTGCGATTCGAATAGACCGTCAGTTGACTTACGGCTATGCCAACGAAGCACATGGCCGCCATGATTGCCAAAGTGTTGCGCATCCAGCAATTAAGTTGTGTGAAGTTGCAGAAGTGCACAATACAGACGAAGATGAGGAAGCCGTAGTGGTACTCGAAAGCTTCGAGCAAATTGAGATCGAGTAGCAGGAAGTTGGCAATTATCAGTATAACCGGCATGGCCATAAGTATAGCCAAACATATGTGCCAGGGATACCAGCTGGAGATTGCCTCGAATATGCGGTCGGCGCATGACTCTGTCTCGTTGACTTTCGTACGTGCAGTGCTGTGCCGTCGACACATTTGACGTGTGAAGAGGAACAATGCAAATATCTGTATGGCCGTGAAGATCGTGAAGAGCGACACCCAAAGTCGAAAGCTTGGAGTCACGGTGTTTGGCGTCATAAGAAATAGTGAGATCGAAATGCAGAGGTAAACGGCGATGCCGACAAAGATATCGATGTACGTATTATAGCGTGGCGTCGCCAGCGTCGGTGGTCCCTCTGTTTCATTCTCATTGCCGAAGCGGTGTGCCTTAGAGCGAAAATCTCGTTCCATTTGCTTTGACTTGAAATACAAACTGAAACGTTTGAGTGGCGGCTTGACCAGATAACTGCGCTGTGATTTTGCATTGTCACGTACGCAGCGTATCAACTGGAGATCGGATTGTTTGCGTAGCTGTTGTAGACAGGCTGCTAGGGGATCAGCTACTGGCGGCATTGGTTGTGGTATCGGTGGGAGCGGCACGTGTGGCAGCGTTGTTACGTCGCCGATGTTTGAAATGCTTGACGTTGAGCTGGTGAAATAACCTGAGACGCGATGTTGGCTAATGGCCGATTGGTTGAGCGCATAGATTTGTTGTTGTATTGAGGAACGACGTGAGTTACTTTTAATGCCGGAGTCTTTTCGAGAAGTCGCCGAAGGACATATGCTGAGACCATCGGGCCAAATACTCGAATTGCGTGAGTATGCAGGCTGATGATTGGTTGTGGCTGTGGGCGCGCAGGGGATCGATGTGCCACTGGCGATGAGCGGTTGTGCTGCGGGTGTATCACTATTCTTATCAACTGTACCGGAGGTGAGCGTGGAAGCGCGTGGACGCGGCAACGGCGAAGTTTCCGATTTGCCACTGCGTCCGCATTGCGAACGGTAGCTGCCCGAACGACCGAAAGGGGAGATGTCGCTGCGGGACTGACTAATGTAGGAGCGTATATCAATAATGTCGTCAAACATGGAGTACTGTCCAGGTGAGCAACAACTGCCGTCAGGCGAGCGCACGTAGTTGTGTGAGATGCCGGTGGAAGTTGCGGCATGATGCAGGATCGGCTTCTGGGGTATCTCCAGTGTGTGTGATGTAGTTGTTGGCTTAGACGATTCAATGAGAATAGGTAATTGATGGTAACCATTTGGCTCAATGAATGCTACAGTTTCATCGGTGTGCGGTACCGTAAGTTTGGTGTTTGACGCAATGTTTCCCGCCTCAGTGGTTGAAGACTTGTCCGAGTGCTTGACGATGTCTTCGATTTTTTTGAGGAAGCGCGGAACTTTGGGCACCTTCAGTTTGATTTTTGCGCGTCCACTCTCTTCAGCTACATGTACTTTGGCTGAGTTACCATTCGTGCCGTTGAGACCCTTACAGCAACCCTCATCCACTTTGTCGGGGTCATCAGCAGAATCCAAGCTGCCGGGCAGACTCTTTGTGGTTATAATAATCTTTGGCCTTTCACGCACCACAATCACTGGTGGTACACCCATTCCGTCCGCATGTACAATACCGCGTTCGATATCACGTTCGCGGCTTTGAGACTTCTTGCGCAGTTTCATACTGAGCGAGGTAAGACGTGGACGCATTGAAAGTATGGGCGAGGGGTTTAATGAAGAGGAGAGTTGACCCACTGGCGAGGCCGGTGGAACATTTGGATGGATTACTGAAATATTTGTTGCGCTCTGTGATAGTGGTGTCGGTTGGCCAGGTATCCCAGGCAGCTGTAAGTGACTGCCGTCATAGTTGGCGGGTATGCTCGGGCTGAGACTGTTGGCGCGCGACACATCTTTTCGGCGACCGACTACGAAGTATGTGCGATGACCTGTGAAGAAAATTGAAGGAAGAACTAATAAATAATGGACGGACAGTGAGCTAAGTTCAGCTTACCAAATACTTCTTCGCCCTCCTCCAGCATATAAGCATCCCCCAAGAAGTTTGACGTTTCCTCGGAAATGTGCACTTGCTCTGGCTTACCAGAAGACTCCATTCTGCAAATAAAATATTTATTTGAGCTAAAATTCTATGAAGCTTGCTATTTAATGACTGCTTACTTGTTCGCCAAGCTAACGTCGTTGCTCCAAACGTCGAATTTAACGCGCCGCGTACCTACAATACCGCAGAGCACGGTACCGGTATGCACGCCTACTCGCATCTTTACACCCTCATGCCGTTGCGCGTCGAAGCAACGCATAGCATCGATCATGCCAAGACCCATTTCAACGCAGCATATCGCGTGGTCGGCACGTGGTTCCGGGCAGCCGGATACACAGTAGTAACAATCACCCAGTGTGGATATCTTTTCGCAGCCATTTAGCGTACAGAGATCATCGAAACGTTCGAACAGGTCATTGAGTATCTCCACCAGCTGCTCTGCCGTCTTGGTTGAGGACATCTTCGTGAAACCGACTATATCCGCAAACAAAATGCTCACATTGTCCATGCTGTGCATGTGAAATGGACGAAATAGTGATTTGAGGTCGTTGGATGTACGCGGGCGTACATAGTGAGAGTCTGGATCGACCACACCGTCTTTGGTATCAAGAGCTCCAGCGCCACTCTCATTCAACAGCATGTCCGCTACCTTCGGTGGCATTACCGAATGTATCATCTTCTCTTTTAACTGTTTCTCCATCTCCAGTTGGCGACGTACCAGTAAATTTTGGCCGATCTTCATAAACATGCCACGCATGCGAACCACATTCATGACGAGAACGTGAACACCCACGAGATGGACGCAAATGTGTAGGAGAATTCGCATAAGCATAATTTTATTATTACTCTCAGTTGCCGTGCTATGTGTTGCGCTATTACCCACCACTCTATGCGAGGCTACCTCGAAGAGTACGGAGTATATGACAGCGATAAAGGCGCTCAACCACAACTGCATGGGGAGTGCGGTATAGATGAGCAGCACGATCGAAACGCAAATGGAGAAGTGACCGAGCGGACTGAAGGCGCGTCCTGTCAAAGTGAGAAATGCCAATGAGAAGGCACATAGTACGATGGCTGTTATCGCCGATGTCAGGTTTCGGTAGGCGCGATACATATCCCAGTGCGTAAAGCAGAGGGCAGTGATTGTGACGAGCGAGAGCATTGAGAAAGCGCTCGATATCGGACGCCAAAAGTGTTCGGAGCCGCCATCGATGAGAAAGTACAGGAACCATGACAGTGAGCATATTAAAATGTAGGAGAGTGCAAATCTATAAGACATAGTGAGAGAGAGAGGAAAAGAGATAATATAATATTTAGACGTAGATCAATGGAATCAGGAAATTAATTAAGTATAAATTTTAATAAATAATTTACGTTTAAGCGATTCAGCGCACAAGTGATTACAATAGCAATTCGCTGATTTTTGTGAGAGTCCTTCGAATAGGGGTGTTCGTTTACAAAGGCAAAATTCAAAACTATCTAACAGTTCGAAGGGTTTGTACAAATAATTAGAGGAAACCAATTTCCCACCACCCACAGGCAATTAAAACTTCAACTACTCAATTTGCTCTGGCAACCGAAAGCTCATACATATTTACGAGTAATTAACCGTTATAATTATGTTGCATTGCATGTTGCGGCAACCGTTCCAAGCTGCCGACTGCAAAGTCGTATGACTCACACATCCATACTTATAAATGTCCATTTATATACAGATACTAATAAATATATATGCCAACCAAGCAATTCCAATTGTCCACGCTACCGACAACGTCGAAAAATATTCAAAAAGTCACAGACAAAAGTAAATATTGCCAACAGAAAAAAATGAAAGAGAGCGGAAGTCCTGGCCACTCTCACCGAGCGCTCTGTGTGCGAGTAGATAAATCTATATTTATTTACTTTACAAGGATATAAGAAAGGACATGCAGAAGGAGTCAACTGAGGTATGAATGGTTGTGTCAAGCTGCCATTGCGCATTTATTCGAGACTTAATGACAATTTCGTGTCACATAATTAAAGTTAATTTAATGCGGATGCCCTCGCAGAAGTGAAAATAAATGTTTTGATTACGTTATTTTACTGGTTCTTTTGTAATGTGAACGGTCGAGATAAATTGACATTGATTTGTCAGGAAGACGAATGATTACATTAAATAGGAAAGTATAAATAAAATAAAATAAAATAAAATAAAATAAAATAAAATAAAATAAAATAAAATAAAATAAAATAAAATAAAATAAAATAAAATAAAATAAAATAAAATAAAATAAAATAAAATATCTTCAATTTTCTGCACAATTTATTTACTTACTTATGACAAGTGAAAAAAGCGTCATTACTCAAAAACAGTGAACTAAGCTTCAAAATGAAAAATTCGTTGGCCTTTATCGATTAGCTCAATTTGCCTTGACATACCATTTCCGGTATTGCGCTCCCTAACCTCTCTTCGCTTGATGTAGGCCATTTCCATTGTACTAATTGCCTCTATCACCGATTATTGTTACTAAAAATAACATTACCAGCTATGTGCTCAGCTACATAGACATACATATATATAAATTCACGAATAATTGTAAGGCCATACAGTGTTGGTAATTAGATTAGTGGGGAGCAGGCGGAAATGTTTGTGGTGATGGATAATGGCATACTTTCTTACTACGAGCAAAAGAAAAAAAGAGAGGAAAATGTTGGGAATATCAGAGAAGAAATTAATCAAATAAACAGAAGACAAAAAAAAGAAAACAATCAAAATAAACAGAAAAAGCCGGAACGAGGCAGAAAATATGTGCTGGAGGACTCGAACAATTGAAATCCACATTACGCAAATTGAAGCGGATTTGGTTGTCACGCTGAGCAGTCAATTTTATTGCGTCCAAAGTGCTTTGACCGGCAGTGCTTTCTTTGTTTTGTTTATTTGTATTTAACTTTGTAAGATATACATGTGTATAGATTCTTCAAGCGTATGCCGTGAACTTGTTTCTGCTTCATTCAAAGCTAAATATCAAACTGTATAATATGTCAACGCTGTGACAGCTGCGATTGGACCGCATATGGTGTAATTTATTTATGTGTAGTATGTATGTACGTATCCGAAAATATAGGAATGCACAGGCAAGACACGTGTGCCAGATATTTGTATGTCGAGCATATTATGAACATATTTTTCTCACCTTTAGCAGTGAGGATTTTTCTATTAAATGATTAACTACTTTGTAGAACGAAAAAAAAAACAAATAGTGGCACGTGTCTTTGTATGAGTCGAATAATTGCAGCAGGAGGTTTTCGGAAGAAGTTTTTTCTTTTGCTTAGAAAACTATTTTATTCTTTAATGAGTGATTTTATTATGAGAAACTAAGTTTTACCTCATCATTAGCCTTAATGCGCTTTTATTTTGAAATGAATTCACTCATTAATAACCAATTAATAACCTACTCGCCATATCTTTTCTTTGTTTTATCTTTGATTTCGGACAAGTGAAAATTGACTTGTCCCCAAAAATTAAGAACTTGAAGTAATGAAGCAACATCACGCAATATTCCACAATATAGCCAAAAATAGCAAGCACACGCCATAAGGATGGTCAAAATAAAAATAAAAATGTATTGGGATTTTTTTTTCGTTCGATCTAATGCAGTGTAAAAAAATACCTAGACATGGGACATTTCTTTAGATTGATTACTTCTTGATAATCATTGCTGCTCGTAACTTTTGGTTTGATAAATAAATAAGTACATTAAAAATTCAAAATCGGTTCAGCAAATCGAATTACGGGCTTTATTTTCATATTAGTGAATTTAATATTTTAAATAAGATTAATAAAACTTATTATAATAATGATAATGATCATTATTACTATTAAGATATAACTTTTTTATTGTAGAACCAACCTAATATATATAAATACCAACACGTAAAAATGATTGTTTAACTTGACTTTCGCCTTTATGACACCCAAACAGGTGAGCAATAAATATAAAACGGTTCTTTTGTAAACAAGCACTAAATATAATAGAAAAAGTTCGTCAAACGCAATTCATTAATCTACTCACTCACACATACAGAAAGCAGGATACACAAATACATAAGAGTATACTTCGACATATACATACAAGCGCGCTCAAATTCCTTCGAGAATACCAAGGACGTCAGTTTAATTGGCGTTTAAGTTGGTACTTTAACTGGGTTAAACATTAATTAAAGCATACTTTTATGGGCTGAACAAAAGAAGCTGACTATAGCTGCAAATGGACAGCAAAAGAGGGGAAAATAGCAATAAAAAAAAATTAATTGTTGGTTTTTTATAATTTTCTTTTAGTAGTAAACGTATCCAAATCAAAGTCATTATCGTAAATATTAATTTAAAAATAAACTATTCTTAGCATGTGGGAACATCAAATCAAAATTTTTATTATTTACCAGAATTACTTTGCTTACACGCAGCGGCTGATCACAATTTATTAACGATTTTCTTTAACATGCACATGCATACATAAATACATGTTGTACATATTTTTTGCTTATATATTAAAAAGATCCTAATATTTTAGTTCACTTGATACCACAGTTCTTTTGCATTAGCAAATAAAAAAGAAAATATTTCAATGCCATTATTCGTTAGAACCAGTTGAAGCACAACGGTACACCTAAAATTCACTCAGGCATTTGGCCTAATTTATTATTCTATTTCGTTGAGCAGCTTTACAGGCGGCACTATGCAAGACTGTCAGGAGAGGTCAGTAATCTTCACTACAGTTTAATAAATATTTATGTTTTTTTAGCTTAAAATATAGTATGTATAACTAAAATGCACTTTCCAACCTATTGGGAAATTTATTACAATTATTTACGCCAAGGAGAGAAACTAAATAATTGGCGAGATACAAAATAGAAAAATTGAGCAAAATATCAAATAGTAATAAATTAAAAAATGGAAAATATATAAATAAAAAAAAAAATAAAATAAATAAAATGAAATAAAATAAAATCATATAAAATCATATAAAATGAAAAAAACCAAGCAAAATACAAAAAAAAAAACAAAAAAGTAAAATAAAAAGAAATAAAATAAAAAGGATTTAAATTAAATTAAATTAAATCAGATAAAATCATATAAAATAAGACAAAATTATAAAAAATATAAAATATTATAAAATATAATTAAATAATATTAATTTATATAATGCAATGTAATAACAAGATGAAGAAAAATTTAAATAAATATTATGCATAAATATTAATCGAATAAACCAAATTAAAATAAGAAATATATATTACAATTTATTAAATGATATGATATAAAATAAATGAAAAAAATTCTCCCCTGACGTTTTCGTGCATGTAACGCTCCCTATAAAATACATTCCTTTCATGCTGAGTGCATTAATATTGCGTATACGCCCCCACGCACTTGTGAGCATTCACCGTAATAAATGGTGTAATTAAACTTGTGTGCTGAGCTATTACATGAAATAAACACAGATTCTCATTGCACTAAATTAAAAAACTTTTCGTTGCTCATTTTGCCCATTTCAAAGGGAAGTAGTATGATTTAGCAGAGACGAGAGTCCTCACAATTTACATATCATTTTCTGTTCACTTGTAGCTATCTTTCGAAATGAGTTGTTAAAATTTAACATTCACATGTAAAAAATAAAAATTTTGAAACAAATACATATTCATTTGTACTAAAAAACATATGTATATATATAATATATAAGATAGGTTTTTGGCTGACTCCTGGTAAGCTCAAGATAAATAAATACTGAAATACTGTGTGAAATAATTTTATGAACAAGCACCAAACGCTTTATGTTGAATGAAACTTCCACATTTAACAAATATTTTATAATTTGTTACTTTTTTGGAAATAGCAAGCTCATAAAAAGTTCAGTTTTCCGTGAATTTATAAATTTATACGTTTATGATTTCATGCCATAATATGAATTTGGCGGCTGCGGTAGCCGAATGGTTAGCATTGGGTACTGCCATTCTTATAGAAAATTAATTCAAATAAAAATTTAAGTTAAATTTTCTAATTGCGGTCGCGGCAGGGAATGTCAACCTCTCCGAGTGTATTTTTGACATGAAATAAAGCTCCTCATAAGAAAACCATCAGCCGTTCGGAGGCGGCTTAGTATAAGCTGTAGATCCGTCCAATTGTTGGAATGGAAAAACATCAAGACGTAAAACCACAAATTGGAGGAGGAGCTCGGCCGAAAATCGCTTCAGCGGTTACAAAGCGCCATATATATATATATATATATATATTGAGGAATTTTTAAGACTGCCTGAATTTTTCGAAAATAAAATCTTAAGCATAACTTTATGTATTTTTTATATTCAAACTACAAGTTGTTTTATTATTTTAATATTTAATTATGGAAAAAAACTCAAAAATTTCATACTTCCAAATAAAAAAAAAAATTTTAAACTAGCTTAATTTTCATATATTAATATTTTCTTTACAATTTATTTTCAATATTTTTCACCTTAAAAGTAAGTAATCTTTTTTTATAACTTAGTTAATTTCCAATCTTATAATTTTTGCCCGATAAATTACAAATACATAGTAGTATGTACAGAAGTTTCGCTTACATTTAAACAACGGAATATTTTAAAAGTTTTATATCGGTTTTTCACTATCTAAGTCTGCGGAACAGCAGCAACTCGCTCAAGTCTTATCCAAATTGAGTAAGTAATTTTGTTATCTTTTCCAATTGTCCCACAAAGTCAAAAGAGGAATCGAATTACAATTAAAATCTCATTCTCAAATACCATTTGCACTGTTTAAAGTGCAATTGTTTCCAGCAATCCCGAATGTGTGATTACTTACTTGCACATATAGCCATATAAAACTCACCTGTATCTCATGCGTACGTGTGGAAATACGCTTGTTTGGAATTGTCCCTCCAGCACGGCTGAATCGAATTTCGGATCCAACCATGATTTGGATGAGGCCCTTTCGAACGCCACCGGCAACATGACGCTGCAGCAGGAATGCCTTCGGCCGGTTTGGCTTAAATACGTTTGTATGTGTGGCGCTAAAGCGATTTGTATATCGTCGGTGGAATTACTGCGGCTATCGTTGACTAGAACGCCGGGGGGCATGGCGGTAAAACTGACCGAAGGACGACGTGACTGTAAAGAGAGTGTGAGAGAGAGAGAGAGAGAGAGACGAAGAGTTTAGTAAGCAACTAGAAAGTTGGTAATAACGGGGTTTTTAAAACGATAAAATGGAAAATAATTCCGGTATTCACAAGCACACTTCTGTTTAAATGCATAAAACAGGAAAATGCGCCACTGAAAGGAGCGCAAATTGACAAAAACAAAATATACAAATAAAATAAATGGGAAAAGTAGTTAAAATTCAAATTGTCGTTGTGTATGTGGAATTCAGTTTACTGTAGATTACAAACTGTTGTATAATCACATTCACTAGAAGACACCAACACAGCGCATTGAAACTTTAATTAAACTCAATTGTGCAACGTTGTGGATGGAATTTGCTGCATGCGTATGTTTTGCCGATTGACAAAGTGTTTAGGCGTACAGGAGGTTCGGCGAAGCTCCTGTGGGTGTGCGACAACTTAAGCGACGGTAGCCAAGGGAAGGTGTACTAATTTATATGGGTCTGTATGTGTCCATGCAAGTGTATCTTTACATATCTACAGTTTATCATATACAAAAGTACCTTTACTCAAAGTTATGCAATATGGGAGAGAATAAACTCAATTTTTGTTCGAGAAACGCTGTATCTCACACTGATCTATGAAATTCAATCATCAAATTGAATAAAATCAGTTAAATCATCTAACAACACAAAAAGTGTCAAATTGGCTCAAATCTAGCACACAAATGGTGATTCAAACGTGGCCATGTTTTGAGCTTTATTAGTGAATGAGGGTGCATATAATCGCCCAACTACTCAAGCGATTGGTAAAATTTTAAAGTATTTTGAAGAGACTGAATCGGGTACAGTTATTGTAAGTCCTTCTTGTTCCACCTCAAATGTCACCACTTTGAGTGAAGCTGTAGCCAAAGACCGGAATGGGTGAAATTCTCTTCTTCGCTGGGACTTTCTAACGGCATATTTTAGTGAATTTTGCGCATGCATTTACACCTACATGCGCATAAAGTCTAGCTCAGATAACAACTGAAGCCAGCTCCGAGAATACTCAAAGCTCAAAGAGAGATCATTACACCCAAAAGAATCTTACTCGATGCTGCGCTCGTTCGGTCAAAGATGTGTTTGGCCCCTAAATCGTTGATATTGACAACAGCGAAACTGTTACTATTAACTTTGAGCGTTATGACCGTGATAACTGTTTTGTTTTATCTTGCAATTTAAAAACACGACTTGGACTTTATGTGCTTTCAACAAGACGATGCCACTTGACAAAAAACAGGAGCGAATAAACTTCCCGACCGCATAATTTCTCGCCTTGCTGCGGTCTAATACTCTTGGACAGTTGGACTTCTGTTGTGGGGCTACGGAAAAACCGTGTTTATGAGGACAAAACCGTGCAATATGTGTCAAGAAGTGGGTTGTTTGAACGAGCGACTTTAGAATATTCAAAAGTGCCAATAACAAATTCGAAAAAATGCTACTTATGTGTTTTTTAAAGTTAACAAACGAGTATACCGCAATTTGGATTCTCACTTGGCTAATTGTATTATTGCGTTTGTATATCTGATGCACACGTTGATAGTGCCTGCACATACGAGTATGTATGTACTTACTTAAATATTTAATATTATGCTAGAAATTAGTTTCAAGTGCAGTTAAAACACATTCAATGTTGAGTAGTGGTATTAACATTAACATTGTGCATAAAAGGCATTTTTCGAATAATTTTGCAAAAAATTCGCAGTCAAGAGATTATTGGAAATTCTTTCGCAAATTTCTTAGTTGTGTTATTTATAGACGCCGCAGCAAGTTTAGAGTGCCCTTACTCAATCGAATTCGGCAAGACCGAAATTAATGTAAAACACTCTGATGAAAATAAATGAAAATGTAAATTACTAGCGGCTACGCGTTGGGAGATTTTTGCAATTTTCTTTGTTGTTTTATAATTTTGGATTATTTCACGAGTTGAAACTACAGTAAGCCCGGGATATTGTGAACTAATTAAAACGATAAAAATAGCATGTTCCACATCGCGTGAATCGAATGCGCAATATCGACAACAACTCGCACAGAACTTTCTGGAGCCCGATATGAAATATATAGGGATATACAAGAGAGAAGACACACACTGCCGGTATGTCAATTACAAAGACATCATTTTAATGACAACACTTAGATGACTTGGATGCTTGAAGATTTTTTTTTGGCGATCCAGCGAGCAAGTCCAAAGCTTTTCAAGGTATTTATATTGAGCTTTAGCGTACGAAAGTCTTTGTACTACATAACGTGTTTATTGTAATGATAAATGAAAGAAATCTGTAACGCTTCAACTGCGCCCACCGGGTAGACTGCCAAGACATTATGTAAAAAAAAATTTCAGGCTAAATTTTGGTTTAATTAATAAGCCTAAACCTATGCCACAAGAACCAAATTCTAAAAATTTAGAAAAAAATTGTGTTTAAATGTGTTGCGCCAAACTTTATAGGGATATTTACCTTAACCTACGCTGACTTTTGGTTCTTTGAGCAGTCGCCAACATAAAAACATGGTCATGTGAGAGGTGAAAAGAGCGAACATCATGCAATTTTGAAGTTATGAAGGGAAATCAGTTGCTACCATTTTGAAAGAGGTGTTAAAGAGATCAACGCATAAAAACATAATCCGTGCCACAGGTGAATATTTAAAAAATGAAAAATAATTTTTTCTTATTTCCATCTTTTATCCCCCATTCGACGAACATAAAAACGATCCTTCGGAGAACGAATATGTCCCATGGAGAACGAGCTGAAACATGAAAACTTCAAGAAGTTTAAACTTTTTCTTTTGCAACCGATTTCTCAAGGTGTGCTAAATACGTGCGCAGTCTCGTTTTCCGTGGGTCATATCGTATATAAACCAACTTGTTCGTGAAATGCCCCTTATTATATTTATGAAAGAAAAGGACCTTAATGCCATAAAATACCTACACAAACACACACACAAACACATACGCAGTCACATACTTTTTATATGAATGTATTGTACATATATATTTGTGATTGTGCGAATGCAATTTTAATTAAATTCCTGTGTTCTAATCCAACAATTTACTTCGCCTGCAGTCGACAAAATGCAAAGGAATGCGAACGAGCACAATAAAAGCAAAAGTAAAAACAATATAAAATAATGTACCAATGCACACATACTCGTACATATCATCTGTATGTACGTGTATGTGTGATGATACGTTTTGCGGTTCTACGGCAAAATAATGGACAATATTCTAGTCGGTGTTGTAAATGAAAATTAATTACCGCCATTAAAAATGTAAAACGGGTGAGGCCAAACATGGCGAATGCGGCACAACTGAAAGGTGCATAAACAGGATGACTTACATGCTCGTATATAACACATACACACATCTACACATCCACACACACAAATACAAAACAATAAAGATTAAAAAGTGTTTTGAAGGCTTAAAGCTGTCAAAGTATGGGTTGCTAAAGACACAGAACAGTCAGCGATGACGGTGAGTGAAAGAAAGTGAAAGGTAGTCGAATAGTAGAGTGGAGAGTGTAGAGTGTAGTAGTAGTAGTGAGTAACATAAAAAATAATAAAAAATATAAATAATACAAAGTAGAGGTAATATGCAGATGCCTTCAACAGCAACAAATATGTATGTATGTGTGTATGTATAAGTTACAGCAACCACCAAATGAACACACACGTACATAGTTCCCTCTGTTGTGTGTGTGTTAAAGAGCTTGCAACACTATAGTTAGAAGCAAGTAAGGTAAGTAAAATTAAAGGTAAGTAAAATATTAAATAAACGCTTCTTAGCTAAGTCACCTCGACTGAAAGTGAATTTAGTGCCACATTTTTCTGAAGTGGACCGCAACGTGTTTCTGGCGCTTGCTTTACTTGTTTTTCGTAGTTGGCAGTAGATTTCCTCCTTCGAAAGCCCGGCAGGAAGGACGGAAGGAAGCGCTCAAGTATGCGACGTGCTAAAGAGCAGCTTACGAAAATGGCTAGTGGCGGTACTTTTTGCGCTCATAAATAGCGGTAAAGGTCGCCAACGGTAATGGCAGCCACTCAAATGTGGTTTTAGGAAGAAAACCAAAATAAAAGCGCAAAAAATGTGAAAAGGTATTTCATAATTTACATGATGGGCTGTTTGTAGGTGAATCGTGTTTTTTGCAGGACATTTCGGTCAACAACAGAAGCGTGGCGTGTTTGTAAAAGGCTTTACCACAATGGCATCGGATATCAGAAAATGCTTTGTCATGTCATGCAATCGCGGGAATCATGGAAAAATAAAATCAAATTGCTGCCATTAGGTAATGAACGGAAGAAAAAAGTTCTCAATTCTCAAGAAATTTCATCTCTTACGCCGCGCAACCAACCAACTAGCCGTCTGCCACTAGCCAGCCAACACGCTAACTGGGTCAATGTTAAACAGTGAACAGTGAACAGAAAAGAAGACGAACAACAACTATTTTTCTGCGAACCCGTGTAGGCATGAAGACCTTTGGAAATACGCCACAAAAAGTAACGGCAGCCAGTACCAGCCAACATTGGTTGCTCTTGCTAAACGCACACACACACACACACAGAGGTGTGTGATGAGGCAATAAAAGCGACGCGATTTGTTTTTCTCAAGCATGGCAATGTTGCAGCAACCACACACATACCATGCGATCTATTTGTAATGAGTGTGTAATTGAGCCAAGCGGAAAGTAATGCGCCATTCGCGTTTTGAACTCATATTACCCATTAGTTGACCCTGCCACACATCCAACAAGTGTGTCGCAGCGAAGAATTCGCTTTGGGGCATTCATAACTGCGTTCTTTCTATTCTTAATGCTAATGACGCTGTAGTTTCTTTTCTCTCTATAAACGAGCGAATGATGAGCCCAATTAGGAACTATCTTTTCATTTCAAAATTTACTCCCTCGTAATGAGAATATCGTAATAAGAAATTTTCCGCTTTTGACTAAAAACTGCTGTTCTTCTGGCAACAACGCGTAAG